CCGCCCGCCGGCACCATTGCCCCGACGGCGCGGCCGGGCGGCCCGGCTCTGCCCCGGCTCCGCGCTGGCCGCAAGACGCTCCTGGCGGCCGCGGCGGGCGTGGTGATGCTGCTCGTGCTGGTCGTGCTGATCCCCGTGCTGGTGAGCTCGGGTGGCCCGGACGGCCACTACGAGATGCTGGGCACCTGTCGCATGGTGTGTGACCCCTACCCCGCGCGCGCCGGAGACGCCCGCACCGAGCAGAGCGCGCCGCCGCCCTCCACGCTGGTCCAGGGCCCCCAGGGCAAGCCGGGCCGCGCGGGCAAGCCGGGCCCCCCTGGTCCCCCCGGAGAGCCCGGCCCCCCGGGCCCTGCGGGGCCGCCAGGGCTGCGGGGCGAGCCGGGGCCGCCGGGCCCCGCGGGGCTGCCCGGAGCGGGGGCGTCGGGCGCGGTGAGCGCTGCCACCTACACCACGGTGCCGCGCGTGGCCTTCTACGCCGGCCTCAAGAACCCGCACGAGGGCTACGAGGTGCTCAAGTTCGACGACGTGGTCACCAACCTGGGCAACAGCTACGACGCCGCCAGCGGCAAGTTCACGTGCAGCATCCCGGGCACCTACTTCTTCACCTACCACGTCCTGATGCGCGGCGGCGACGGCACGAGCATGTGGGCGGACCTGTGCAAGAACGGCCAGGTGGGCGGCCGGCGGGCGGGATGGGCAGGCGCCGGCGAGGCGCTCCGGGCGGCCCCTGCGGAGGGACCCGCGCCAGCCTGAGCCGCAGCAGCCCCTCCGGCGGTCCTCACCCTCGCAAGCCCAGAAATGCGCAGTCCCTTCCCAGCTAGGAGGCCGGGCGCCTCCCGGGAAAAGTTTCCCCGCAGCCTCCCAGGTCCAACTTCTGACTCCCAGGTGGTGGAACCCTCTGCGGACCCAGAGTGTGCCGGAGCGTCCCTGCCGGGTGCAGGTGGAACCACCCACCTGGCACCGCTGGGTCCCACTGCGCCCCAGGGACACGGCCCCCCAGCTCGGATCCCACCTCCCTCCCAGGTTCCCAGCAGGGTGACCTGGGGATCCCGGGTATGGCCAGGCTCCAGTTCTCCTGGAAGGAGGGGACCCCTGGCTGGAGGGAGTTGGAAGGAAGGTCCCCTGGTTGGAGACCAAGACCAGGTTGGAACCCTGCTGCAGCACTACCCTGGCCTCTGCTGGCCTTAGGGTCGGGAAGGGGAAGGGCCTACAGGTAGCTGTCGTGCTGGAAGTGTGTCCCCTTCCCCTGTCCCCTGCCTGTGCCTCTGCCCCCTGGTTTCTGCCTGTCCCTGACCCTGTCTCTCCTCTCTCTGTGCCTCCCATCCATCTCTTCCCTGTGTCCCCTCAGCTTTCCGGTCTCTGTCCCGAGGGTCCAAGCCCTTTTCTGTTTATCACTGTGTCTCTCTAGTTTCCTGGTGTCTCTCTCCTCTTTGTCCTTGGTTCCAGACCAAACGAGAGGCCAGGCGCCCTGTGAGGGCTCCTCTGCAGACAGCCCACAGTTCCCGTTTTAATCACCAGCAGGGACACAGTGTGGCCTGCACTGACAGTGTCTTCCTTCCCAAAGAAAGTTTGGGCTGTCACCAAGCTGTGGCTTCAGGGTGGGGTGGAGAAGCAGCCGCTCGGCCACCATGGACCCAGACTGTGTGCCGCCTGCAAGGGTGGGTGTTGGGGTTGAGGAACTTGCCTTACTCACCTGGTGTGAAACTGTCCCCAAAGCCCTTGGTGTACTGGAGGAGGCTGGCAGAGGAGGCTCCTGGGAGGGGACCCCGGCGTATTAGAAAAAAGGAGGTGGCTTTGCCTAGGAGTCTTCAAAGACCCAGCACTGTAACAGCCACTCAGACCACGCACCCCCAAAACACAAGGACACAGTGGGTTCCGCAGCCCACACCCCAGATCCCCTGAGGCTCCTCCCTCTTGATGGCCCACGAGCCTCAGTTATCTCACCAGTCCTTCCAGGGTTGGTGCTGAGCTCCTGGTGAAAACCGGAGGGGGCCCAGTCTGTGTGGCCCACGAGGTGGGGGGGCTGTAGTGTTGCAGGTAACCCCCCAGTGAGTACTGTGTTGAGGGTGAGCTGGGAGGAGCGATGTGGGGCTGCCCTGGCTCTGGCTAGGGGAGAGTGGCGAGCTCGGGTCCCCAGGGTGAGGGCCACAAGGACATTCACGTGTGCAGCGGAAAATGGCAGGGCTGGGCAGTGGGTGGGGACAGGAGGGAGGAGCTTGCGCCTCCTGTGCCTTCAGGGTTGGGGCTGCCTGTGCCCTGTGCTGGCCCTGCCTGGCCTGCTGCCTACAGAAGCTTCCAGAACTTCTCTGGGAAGGCAGAGTGGAATCTGGGCTCCCGGCCTTCCCTGGGGAAGAAGGGTCGGGAGTGAGGAGCAGCTGCAGCCCCTCTGGGGTCGCCCTCACCCTGAGGGCTCCAAGCCATCCCCAGGAAGCCAGCAGCCTGCGGAGAGGCCTGGGCCATGCCTGCAGTGTCTCCCCACGTTCAGACCCAGCGGGAAGGGCACAATACCGAGAACCCGGGTGGGACACAAAGAGGGGCGGTGGTCAGTGTGCTGCCCACCCGGGACAGCCACTTGGGGTGTGAGGCTCCCCAGTGGACGAGGGCTTGCTCGGGAGTGGTGCTGCATGTGTGGTGTGGACCAGGCTGGAGTCACCTTTCACGTGGGGCAGGAGGGTGCCCACCCGCCCCTAGCACCCCCACAGCACAGAGCCTGGCACAGCATTGCCCACCGAAGGGTAAAACCACCGTCCCCTGCAGGCCAGACTGAGACCCACCCCAGCTCTGCAGGGCCCCAGTGTTGAGGGGGCAGGGCCAGGCTTCCCGGGGCCCCTTAGCCAGTTCTCCTGGCCAGACCGCTGCCCGGTTTCCCCTCCTGGCAGACCTTGCAGGGACAATTCGACATTGTCCCCTCGAGCCGAGGCACACACTGCTTTCCTCCCTCCCCGGCGACAGTCCCACACTCCTGGCCCCCGGGAGCTGCTGGAAGCCTCGGCTGCTTCCAGAACCCGGCAGAGAACCAGGACCCCGGGGTTCCGTCCACGGTCCCCCAGCATCCGAGGACGGAAGGGCATCAATCCCCCTTGCCTCTGCAGATAATTAGGACAATTACAGCGACAGTCGTGGTGATGAATAAACACAAGCAGAACAGTTCTGACGCCTGTCACGTCACTGGGAGATTCCTGATGACAGATGACGGGGTTCTAATGGGTTTGGCTATTACGGAGCACACTGTTCTAATGAGTTAAGGCTAAATTAATCTAGTAATAAAAATAATTGTTATTGGTAGTAATTTATTAGCAAAGATAATGAAATGCATGTGTACTAATAAATACTACTGGGATTAGGGCCCAGGGAACCATAGAGAAGTTGGCTGCTTGCTTTCAGCTCTTCCCATGTAGCACAAGGCCCCTCAAGATTTACCTTTCTTCTCGGTACCATCAGAGCTGCTGTGGTGAATGGCAGTGAGATGGGAAGGGAGCTTCCTGACAGTACCTTCTCCTCTTGTCCCGCCCACCTTCAGCCAGACCCGAGTTTCCCCAGCTGAGCCTGGAGGGTAGCTCTTTCCCAGGCCGGGGCAGAGGGGTTGGACGGAGGACGGAGGACGGAGGATGGAGGATGGAGACCAGGCTGTGGCAGAGGGCCGTGTGCGGGCAGGGCCTCTCCTGCAGGCAGAGTTGCTGCTGAGACCTCCGCTGTCTCCTGCAGGGAGCAAGGGGAGGCCCCTTCCCCTGCCTTCACCAGCCTGGGAGCGATGGGCTGGAGCAGTGCTGCCTTCCAGGAAGGGGCAGGAGAGAGGGCTGAGGGGACGCCGCCCTGCCAGAGGCCGGGTCCCCTGGCCTCTTCCTGTCTGCCTCTATGGCCCATCTTCAGGCTCAGGCCACAGGTTGCCTGGGCTGTTAGAGAGGCGGTCAGTGTTGGGGGTGTCCTGTCCCCACTGCACACCCCACAGTAGCTGTGATTAGAGCCAGGGCCCCCCCAAGGGACAGCAGGCTCTGAGCCCGAATGCTGAACCCCAGCCAGGTCCTGTTCTCCCCTCGAGGACCCGTGGTGTCTGGCTCGTCACTCACTAGGGGCCTCTCCGGGACGAGGGTGGGAGCCCTCACGCCCCTCCCCCACAGGTGCGGGCCAGTGCAATCGCCCAGGACGCGGACCAGAACTACGACTACGCCAGCAACAGCGTGATCCTGCACCTGGACGCGGGCGACGAGGTCTTCATCAAGCTGGACGGCGGCAAAGCCCATGGCGGCAACAGCAACAAGTACAGCACCTTCTCCGGCTTCATCATCTACTCTGACTGAGCCCGCGTGTGGCCCTGACCAGGGAGCTGAGGCCGAGGCACTGTCCCCAGTGACCCACCGCCGGCGCCTCAGCCTGGGCTGCTGAGCTGCCCGTGCCCGAGAAGCTGCCCAACCCCAGCACCCCAAGCCCTGGCCCAGCTGCGCCCCCTCTGACCAAAGCGATAATAAAAACCTTTCCACCCACCATCGTCTGTGCCCTGGGGAGGGCAGCGGGGACCCTGCACCGGCCTGCTCTCCATGCAGGGGCAGCCTGGTGGGAAGCAGCCCGCCCCAGCTCGCCCTCCGGGGTGCAAAGTTCCAGTGCACACTGCTGCACTGCGACAGTCTAAGGGGGGACACCTAGGTTCTGGTCCCTGTGACACTGATGCTGGGCGATCAGCCCCCTGGGACACCACTGCGGGTCAGGGCTTGCCGTAGAAAGGAACAGGCTTTGCACAGGGATGCTTGACCTTGGTCCACGCGCTTCACCCCTGGGTCTACTTTCTCCTCAGTGAGATGCAGACTGAGGAGGCTGAAAAGAGGTGTTGTGGACATGCTCAATAAACAGCTCTTATTATTTATACACCACTTCAGCATTTGCTGTAGTCGGATGGGTGGACTTCAATCTTTGGGGAGAATAAAGAGCTTGCTTCGTGTGCTGTGGTCGCTGAGTTCTGTGGCTGCACTGAATCCATGATACGACGTCTCCCCATCGCAGTGAGGGTTTCCTGGGTGACCAAGTGTAGTGAAGCTGGATGCCGGGGAAGCACCCTGCAGGCATTTTCTCAAGGGTGCCTGTGTGGGTGGGAAGCAGATTTGTGGGAAATGCTCTCATGCCCTGTAATGTGGACGTGGCGGTTTTGTCCATTTAATTTTTTATACATTCATTGATTTGGAGACGAAGGTCTTGCTATGTTGCCCCGGCTGGTCTTGAACCCCTGGGCTCCAGTAATTCTCCACGCCAGCCTCCCCATGCTGGGACACAGGTGTCTTGGTGTGCCCGTGGCTCTGTCGGCTCTTAGTAAAGAGGTGCAGAGAGGTCGTGAGTTGCCAAGTCCACTGAGCTAGGAACAGCAGATGCCGATGTCTGACCCAAAGGTCATGCTCTTCCCCAGTGCGCTGCGTTTCATAGAGTTGGCGTCGCCAGGGCAGAACTGAGGCTGCCGTTGGATGCCCCACACCCGGCCCCGCAGAAGCCTAATGTGTTTAGAGGCATCTGCCCTGGCGTGGCAGCCGTGGAGCAGCTCTGGGAGAACCCCCAGGCTCCACAGGAGGAAACGTCCCCTCTGGCTCCCCAGCGTGGCTCAGCTGGAGGGACAGGAAGGACGGTGGCCTCCCGCCTGCCCAGAACCCTTGTATGGACCCTAGTCACGGCTGCCGGACTTGAATGACTTTCTTTATCCTCCCTTCTCTCCTCTACTTCCCCCACTGCCAGCTGTGGCCATTTAATAAAATTAGCTTAATGCTTGTTCCTTCCCTGTGGGGTCTGGAGATTGAAATCTGCGGGTCCCCACAAACCCAATAAAACCCCTGGCAGGCTTGGCTGGAACTAGATGCTCCGTGGGCAGTGATTAGATTGGAAGCCACTCCTGGCCCTCAGCACTGCCCACAGTGCCCTGTGAATTCTCTAATGGTCACACTGGCCCAGAACCACCTGGCCACCACCCAGAGGCCCCCGCCCTGCCGGGCCCCAGGGCCTGGCCCAGGACCGCTGTCCCAATACAGTGCGTGTAACTCCCTTCGGCCCAAGCCTGTGGCTGGCTGCCTGCACTTCTTCCTGGTGACTTGACAATTCTCATGTTGTTTTGAGAGATGGGATAGAATCTCCATTTTGCAGATGAGGGACTCATACACAGGAGATGTGTGACTCGCTCCTGGTCATGGGGGAAGGCTGTGGCACAGCTGGGGTGGGGACTGAAGCCAAAGCCCTGTGCACCCCTGTGGGCTGCAGGGTATCCTGCAGGGCCAGCTGTTTGTTCCTCAGGAGGTCAAAGGAAAGGACTCCCCACCCTGCACAGCGGCCTCCCAAGGGCCAAGTCCGCCTTTTCCGTGGACTTGGGATACCTGGTGGCAAGACCTGTCCCCACCATCGGGCTGTAGGCTGCCTGAAGGCAAGGCTGTGTCTCCTCCACCCTTCGAGGGCCTCCAAGGCAGCAGTGGCTCCCGCTGTGCCATGTACCCTGAGGGGCGGGAGCCTGTGTGCCCCGTACAGCAGGGCTTGAAGATTCCCCCGAGTAGGATCCGTGGTCCCATGAGTGCTTTGGAGGAGACACAATTCCTGTTAAACTGGGCCTTGCTGAGAGGAGGGGACAGGCTGGGGACTCCCTGAAGGAGAGACTCGCTCCCTGATCCAGCCCGGAGTCTCCAGGAGCAGAGGGGGCATGGTCGGGGGTGGTAAAGGAACGGTGGAAGGAAACAGAAGCCTCCCCTGGTGGCTTGGCCCCTAAGAAGTGGTGAATGAGTGAATAATGTCCCTGCCAGGATGGACGTGAGGAGGGAGCTGCCCTGGCGTCGGGGTGATGGGGACCAGAGAGGCCACAGGGCCACCGCTGGGGGCTGCCCTAATTGGATGACTTCGAAGGGAGACCAGGCAGGTGTGCGTGGCGCTCCCTCTAGCTTCCTCCAGCTGCATCTGCTGTGGTGAGGTCTGGGGGTTAATTGGCTCCCGCCTCACTCCTGGTAACCGATATTTCATTTGTTGCTCGGAGGGGGAGCTGCCCAGAGAATCAATCCAGAGAAGGGGCCAGGCGATGGGGAGCTGGGCTGGCCAAGGGAGATGCTTCCTGGACAGGCCAAAGGCCCATGGGAGGGGGCCGGCTGCTTAAGGCTGCTCAGGCCCCTTGCTCAGTTCTGCCAACCCTGAGACAGCATCCTGGGACCCTGGCAGCCTCACTACCTGAGCCAGCCACGTTGTTCCTCTGCCCTGGTTCTTCCTGTACTTATTCATCTGAGTGCCCCTCAGAGAAAGCTGCAGCAGCTTAGATGCTGCTAATAAGGTTATTTTCACAAGTGAGGAAGGTATATTTGAGAAGTGGAATCGGAAGTGTAAGCTCCTGTCTCCTTTCCAGGTAACAAACCTTAAAATCCTACAAATGAGGTGATAATAAAGTGGAAGTGAAAGGTCCACACAGGAAGGTGGTGGAGGTTTCTGATGGCGGCAGCTGGGGGCTGGAGGAGAACGGCCCCACTGTTTTCCCTGTGCTACCCATTCACCCTGGCTGCCAGGAGTGAAAATCAGTCGCTGAGCAAGCAGCTCCCATACACGGCTGGAAAAACTAAGGCCCAGGAGGCTCAGGTTGCGCCAGGGCAGAGACAGCAGGACCCAGCTGACACACAGGAAGTGGAGGCAGAAGACCTGAGTTCAAGCTGGCACAAGCCTGCTACTTGGGAGGCTGAGGCAGGAGGACCCCAAGTTCCAAGCAGCCTGGAGAACTTAGCAAGAATCTGTCTCAAAATGTTAAAAAGGTAGCTCAATGGTACAGAACTTGCCTAGTATGCACAGGGGACTGGGTCCTGTCCTGAGCACCACACACACACGCACACACGCACACACACACACACACGCACACACACAGAGGAACGGAGTCCAAGTCCTGAGCATGCTCAGTGTATCAGGAAAAGACATCTCAGTTCTCTGAGCCTCGGTTTTCACATCTACAAAATGGGCCTGGGGCTGGATAATAAAATATCTACTTGCAGGGTGTTATAAGGCAGCAGATGAGGACATGTTCTGGTTTTGTATGTTATGAGGACAAATCCAATGTGTTTTATTGTAACCCAAGTTTCCTGAGCCCCATGACTTAAAGTTCTTTGCACTTCAATGTCTGGGACAGAGACGATCATAAAGAAAATGAAGATACCCAGGCTGTTCTTCTACCCTGATAACCCCAAAACGACTGTGGGGCCCCGGGCAGGCTTAGGATGGGGCACCCAGGAAATGGAGTCTTGGGTCCTCTGGTCCTTTTGTGGATTCTCCACCTCTGCTCGGTAGCCTTCAACCTGGGTAGGAGCATGGGGACATCCCAGGGCCTGCACACCCTTCTGCTCTGCTCCACACAGGGATGGATGAGAAGCCGCCAGAGTCCAGGGGCCCCCAGGGACAGCAGAGAGACATCCAGGACACAGTGGCATTTGAGGGTGGGGAAGGTGTCACTGACCGCCAACGAGGGGCTCCAGGGAGCTGGGGCAAGTGGGGCTTGCATTACTCTTACTTTTCGGTGTTTGGAAAGATTTTGTGACACGTGTGTGTCCCTCAGGACCTGCCTCAGGCTGCATTCTGAGTTGTTGCTGAAGCTGAGCCTTGGGGCCCTGAGGTGAGGGGCTCTCCCCTCGTCCAGGGGCTTCTGGAGCTGGAGGTCAGCATATGTGCTCACCTCTGCCAACTGCTAAGCAATAAGACCGGCATCTGCGTGATGGACTGCTCTGTGCATTTTGCATTCATTCATTCAAGGATAAATGCATTTTGCATGCGTTCATTCATTCAAGCTTCATAGTAATCCCACGAGGAAGTTCACATAGCCAACCCTATTTTTTGGTAAGAAAATGGAGGCACCGGGCCAGGGATTTAGCTCAGTGATTCTGGCACCTGCCTCGAAAGCGCAAGGTCCCGAGTTCGATCTCCGGTACAAAAAAAAAGAAAATGGAGGCACAGAGAGGAACTAAGTTGCCCGAAGTCACGTGGCTTACCACTGTGGGCACAGCTCTCCTGACAGTCTGCGCGGTCCCTCAGGAAAGGGAAGGGTGGCTCTCCCCATTCTGACCAGCCTTCCCTGCCTGGAGCCCCTCCTCCAACCTCAGTGCTTCCTCCTGCGATGGCCCTGGCAGGTGGCACCCAGGTCTCCCCAGGACTTCAGAGCCTGTCCTCCGCGTCGCTGCTGCCCACAGCTGGGAGCTGCCTTGCTCATCGTCTTGCCTCCTTCCCAGCACTCTGCTGCTGTGGCCGGCTGAGGTCCCTGCTCAGGACAAAGTACCCTTGCAGCTTCCAGGCTCTCAGCTCGCGCCCCCGCTGCCCCATCCAGCTCTGTCCCTCCTCTTCCAGTTGCGGCTCCCAGAGCTTCCTCCTCAAGCCCTCCTGCATCCTGAGTTCCTTTCCCAGCCTTCGCCCAGAGTGCCTGACCTGCAAACCCCCACCCCTTTCCTCCATTCAGCTCTTCCAGCCGTGCTTACCGAGCTCAGCCAGGGCAGGAGGTGGAGAATGGAGACAGCTCTGTCTCAGTTACTTCCTCGTTGCTGAGACAAAATACCCATCACTCAAAGTTAAAGAAGGAAAGATTTATCTCAGCTCACAGTGTGCAGAGGTTTCAGTCCATAGTCAGCTGGTTCCAAGGTAGGGCAGCCTGGCAGAGGAGAAACAGTTCACGGTGTGGCAGGCAGCAGGTAGCAGGCAGCAGCAGTGGCAGAGCCTGCCCTCTTTCTGCCCCTTTATATCCCATCCAGGCTGTGAGCCTATGGATTGGTGCCACCCACACCCAGGGTGGGGCTTCCATTATCCACACCCTTAATCCCAGCATCACACCTAATCCACACTCATGTACCCTAATTCAGCCACCTTCGAAACTCCCCACCTATGTGCACATGAGGCTTTGGGGGACATCTAGACACAGCCATGACACTCTCCTACCTCATGGATCAGCCAGAAGTCACCAAAGGGGCGCTCCATCACAGTCCCCCCTGCTGGGTCCCCTCACCTGCTTTTCTGCCCAGATATTCTGCATCCTGGCCGACCTCATTTGTCCACACTGTCCTGGCTTCAAACTGAATTCCTGCACTCCAAGAGCCCCTGGGTGTGGCCAGGCAGAGCAGGATCATGTGATCATGTTACTCCCACCTTCTCAGCAGCTTCGCTTCACTGATAGCCCTGTTCCAGCTCGTATCTGGATGTGCCCCCAAAGCCTCATGCGCTCCCAGGCGGGGCTTCTGGGGTGACTGGATCATGGGTGTGGGATCCTAGATTAGTCCGCTGATTGTCTTGGCATGGTTGGGTGTGGTTGAATGGATTACTAAAGACAAAAGACTCACCCTCGTGTGGTGGCACCAACTAAGGCTTGTGGCCCAGACTGAATAAAAAGGGAAAGCAGAGCGAAGGCTGTGGCCTCCTGCCTGCCATTCTATGAGCGTTTCTCCTCTGCCAGGCTGTCCTGACACGAAGCCAGCTGACTCTGAAGTGAAACCTCTGTAAACTGTGAACCAAAATGAGCCTTTCCTACTTTAACTTGTGGCTGTTGGGTATTTTGTCCCAGCAACAAAGAAGTAACCAGGACCCTTCTCTACTAACCCTTCTCTACTAACCCTTCTCTACTAACCCTTAGCTGTTCATTCCACATCAGCTCCTTCTCCTCAACACTGATGTCTCTCCTGTATATAAAGTCTCCCTCAACCCCTCATCCCCTCCTGCTCCCCTTGACAGCCACGTGCCTGCAGAGAGCAGCCACCACTTCCAAAGTCCTGCTCTGACCCAGGTGCTGCTGCTCCTCGGACGCTGGCCCTGACCGTGCCGTGACCTCCCAGTTGATAGACGAAGTGGACTCCCCTGCTCTTACCATGCTTGACTTCTGCTCTGGACCAGACCTCAAAGTTTGGCCCCAGTTTAAGGTGGCAGCTCAGTGCGGGTGGGAAGCGTTTCCACTCTGCCTCCTTTGAGCACCTGGGGTCAGGGGACCCGGGAAACAGACAGTGACATGCCTGTCCTCACTGTCCCAACAGGCCTCAGGGGCCCAGGGCCTGCAGCCTCACATGAGCAGCCATACTTCCTGTTTCTTTTTTCTTTTCTTTTAAAATAAATTTTATTTTATCCCATTGCCCCCCTCAGGCCCCCTCCCTCCCTATGTACAGAAGCTTTGTTTCCATTTTTCCTTCTATTTTTACTTTTTTCCTTGTCCTTTCCTTCCCTCCTCCCTTGATACCTTTCTCAATTGAACATTTTCTTCCATTTCCCAATATTTAGTAGACATCTTAGTCCTTATTTCCACTTTAGGTTTCTCACACCAGAGAAGCAGTGCAGTATTTAAACATGTGTGTCTGATTTATTTCACTTAGGAGAATGGTCTCAAGGTCTGTCCATTTAGCGATAAATGTCTGAAGTTCACCCTTCCTTATGGCAGAGTAGTACTCCATTGTATAAAAAAAATCCCACATCTTTATGCACTCGTCAGGTGATGGGCATTTGGGCTGTTGCCAAGATTTAGCTACTAAAAACTGTGCCACTATAAACATGGGTGTGCATACATTGCTGTGATATGATGCTTTGAATTCTTTCAGGAAGATACCAAGAAGAGGTATAGCTGGGTCAAATGGAACCTCTAGTTTTAGTTTTTTGTGGAATCTCCACATAGATTTCCACAGTGGTTGCCCCAGTCTGCACTCCCACCAGCAGTGGAGCAGTATCCTTTTCTCCCCACAGCCCTGCCAGCATTTGTTATGAGTTGATTTCTTTTTGTTGTTGTTGTTTGTTTGTTTTTGGTACCTGGGAATGAACTCGGGTCCTTGTGTTTGCGCAGCAGGCAGTGGAAACCACTGAGCTAAATCCCCCGCCCAGTGGTTGATTTCTTGATAGCAGCCATTCTTTCTGGGGTGAGGTGGACTCTCAGTGTTGTTTTCATCTGCATCTCTAGAATTACCAGTGATGTTGAACATTCCTTCATATATTTATTTGCAGTTTCTAATTCTTCATCTAAGAAGTGTCTTTTCATTTCAGATGCCCATTTTTGGATTGGGTCTTTAAATTTAGGGGGTCTGGTTTTTTGAGTTCTTTATATAGTCTAGATAATAGTCCTTTGTCTGATGAATACCTGATAAAAAAATTTTCCAATGCTGTGGGCTGTGTCTTCACTCTGTTGGTGGTTTCTCTTGCTGTGCAAAAACTTTTTATTAAGATGAGGTCCCAGTTTGTAGTATTTCTCGTGTGTCTTTTGTTTTTTGAGACAGGATCTCGCTAAGTACTCCAGGCTGGCCTTGAACTCACTATGTAGCCTAAACTGGTCTTGAACTTGCAGCATCCTCCTGCCTCACCCTCCTGAGTGCTGGGATTACAGGCGTGCACCACCACACCCAGCTTGGGCCTCGACATTCTCACTGGGCAATTCCAGAGCAGGTCTGCTGGGTCCTGGCCTCTGTCTAGGGTAGGGACAGGACGGGGTCCCTGCTCTTCGGGACCGACCCAGGCCCCGGCGTCTCCTCTGACCCGCCGTCCGGCACTGCAGGCCCACACGGGGAGGCTAGCGTGCTTCGGCCACCGCCACCGCGTCCACAGGGAGGCTCGGACGGCGCCCGAGTTCGCTTGGCACAAGCGGACTATAGAGCCAGCCGCGTCCGCCCGCCCTGGGGAACAGGGGAGGCCACGCCCCCAGCCACCCTCAGTGCGCACGCGCTTGCACGTCCGTCTGGGCCGCAGCCAATCCGCGCGCCAGACGGCGACCAATGGGGCTTGCGCGCGGGAGGAGCGCCGAGTTTGAACCAGGGGCGCCGGTGAGGGTGTCGTGGGGTTGGGGGAGCGCGCGGAAGCGCGCTTCCGGGCCCTGAACCCACGAGCCAGCGGCGACACCGGCAGCGGGGACCGACGGAGGGTGAGTTCACTCTCCGCGGGGCCCTGACGCGCGGCCGGGGCCTGCGCCCTCCCCGTCTGAGCGGACCCCGAGCTCTCGGCCTGGTTTGGGGCCCTGGGGCGGGCAGGGAGCCCGGCGCGCCCTCGCGGGGGCGGGGGGCTCTCTGGAACCGCTGCTTGCCCGCGTGGGAGAGTCGGTCCTGCTAGACACCGGGCTGGAGGCCCGGGGCCTCCTGGACACCAGGGGAGGCGGGACCCGCTGCTCCAGAGAGTCGGCAGCTAAGCCCTCTCCCTCTCCGCACGTCCCGCCGACAAGGGCTGGCCCTGCGTGTGCCGGGGACTGCGACACTTGAGTGCAAACGGGGATGGAAACATCTGTATGACAGAAAACCTGGCCTCTTACTGCTAGGACTCTCCTCTTGGCTCCAAGCCTTGAGGGCAGTGAAGAGACAGAGAAAAGGTAAAGCCTAAGGACTTGGGTTTTACAAAACTGTTGCCGGCTCTGTATGTCATATAATGTCGCTGGGCTCGGTGACACACGCCTGTCATCCCAGCACTGGGGAGGGTGAGGCAGGAGGATGGCCAAGGGTTTGAGGCCAGCCTGGGCTACACAGCGAGACCCTGTCTCAAAAAAACAAAATAAAACAAGAGTGGCTAATACTGAGCCAGAGGACCTGGGGACAGGTTGGAATGAACTGGTTTAGTCCTCACAATAGCCTTGTGGGATAAGGGCTAAGATTCACAGCTGCCAGGCTTGGAAGGGAGGGACAGAGAAGTCAGCCCAACCAGAGAACAGCACCTGCATTTTCCCAGTGAGACTCAGTGCTGTGCTTCTTCCAGTCCGTTTTCTCTTCCTGTCACCACATCCCATGCTCAACAGCGTCACCCATTCAGTCCTTCTCTGCTTGTTACTGAGTCTCTCCACCCCAGAGAGATATTTGTCTCTCTGTCTTTGTAACCAAAGCAATTTAAGCAATCATCAGAGTACTGTACAAACCACATTCCTTTTCCACAATTAAATTATAAGTACAAATGGAAAAGAAATCTACATGTGGAAATTTTAAAAATACACTTAACTCAGACAAATAGGGCATCATAATTATAATTAAAAGATAATAGGGCCGGGGATTTAGCTCAGTGGTTCTACCACCTACCTCGCAAGCACAAGGTCCCAACTTCGATCCCTAGTACCAAAAAAAGATAAGCCAGAAGAGGTGGGGCACATCTATAATCCCAGCATTTGGGAGGCTGAAACAAAAAGGCTCACAAATTTGAGGTCAGCCTGAGCTACATAGTGAGACCTTGTTTCAAAAAAACAACAGGAAACAAAAACAAAAGCTTTGGGGGCCAGGGGTGTTGTTCAGGGATAGGACACTTGCTTAGCACACAGGATACCCTGGGTCTGGCCCTCTCCCATGTGAGTGTGCACACACACACACAAGCTTTTGGACAGGGCTGGGGATGTAGCTCAATGGTTCTGCTTTCTGCCTCACAAGCACAAGATCCTGAGTTCGATCCCCAGTACCTAGGGGGGAAAAATAAATAAAATCTACCTTAAGGGCTAGGGATACAGCTCAGTAGTAGAGCATGTGCTTAGCGTATGTGAAGCCCTGGGTTCAATCCCTAACACCACAATAAATAAACAAACAAACTACCTTCATACACATTAAAAACTCCACCAGAAATTTATAGGCAATTGGAAAAACAATTCTATTATACAGACCTTTCTTTTCTTTTCTTTTTTTGGTACCGGGGTTCGAACTCAGGTCCTTGCGCTTGCCAGGCAGGAGGCAGAACCACTGAGCTAAATCCCCGGCCCTATACAGACCCTTCACAGAACACTTCAGTCTATTTTATGATTCCAGAAATGAGATAAAAAAATTACAAGTCAATCTCTTTTATAAATGTAGTTGTAAGAAAAATCTTAATATTAGCTATCAGAGGTCAGCAATGTATAAAATAATGTTATAACCATGTGAAGTCTACCCCAGGAATGCAAGAATGGTTTAACATTAGAAAATCTATCAGTGGCCAGGTATGATGACACACATTTGTAATCCCAGGGACTCTGGAGGCTGAGGCAGGAGAATAGTGAGTTCAAGGCCAACCTGGGCAATTTAGACTCTGTCTCAAAGTAAAAAATAAAAAGGGCTGGGGATGTAGTCCACCACAGTGCTTGTGTCGCAGGCAGAAGGCCCTGGGTGCAATCCCCAGCTCTAAAAAAATGAACAAAAGAGCTGAGGATTTAGAGTGCAAGGTCCTGAGTTCGATCTTTGGTGGGGGGTCAACCCAAACCAAAGAATGCAGTTCCTCCTCTGCACCACCAGCCCAGGAGGGGGCGTGGTGGGCGTCAAGGTGAGGGAAGCTGGACATCTGGAGACACAGTGGCGCCTCTGGTGACAGAGCTGGTCAAGTCCCCTGGGCTTGCCTTCTCACCACCTGTGTGATGGGCTGAGTTCCTTCCTGTGTCCCTTTACCTTCGAAGAATAGAGCTGTAACAGTTATTCAGTGCTCATATAGCGAGGTTGCTGTGCAAGCTAAACACCATTTGTGAAGCACTTAGTCCAGAGTACTTAGCACCCAGGCACCTGGGCCCAGCATGCAGCCGATGGTGCATAATATTTGTCCTACGAAGGAGTTCTTTTTTTGGTACTGGGGATGGAACTCGGGACCTTGTGCTTTCGAGGCAGGTGGTGGAACCACTGAGCTAAATCCCCAGTCCTGTCCTACGAATGAATCAGAGCCAGGGAAGAGTCTGAATCCAAGAGTAGAAGAATTATTACCAATGCAGCAAATCCTCACCCAGCTCTTTAAGTGCCCCACACTATGGGACAGACCGTCAGAGCAGGGTTCTGCTGTCCAGGGCCTAAGGACAAGAACCAAGTGAAGGGGCTGTGGTGAGACTTGCAACAGCAGCATGACCCAGGGCCAGGTCCCTGCCCTGCCCTTCCCAGCTCCTGAAGTTGCAGGGGGGCCCCCAAGCCCTAGAAATCCCTCTGACCCTCAAGGAACTGTTGTTTGTTGGGCCTGTCCCCACCCAGGTGGGCAGAAGTGGCCACCCTGACAACAGCCTAGCCTGGGCAGTGCTCTTGCCTGTGGGTTTTAATGAGCTGCCCTGGGTTAGAACTAGGACGGGACTGCGCTGGCTGAGAACCCTGAAGATCTTATTAAAGGATCATCTTCCTTGTACTTTGGGCTGAAATGCTCTTTCCAAGTGAGGATCAAAGCAAACTTGACAAAGGTTCTTTCATTAATCTCCCATTCCCCGGGGCGGGAGCTGTTCCCTCCTTGACGTTGATGCAAAACCTCCCTCCGAGGCAGGCAGAGCGGAGACCTGGACCCTGGTGACCCAGGGCACCTGTGCGAGTGTCACCTGCATCCCGACCCCGTGGCCCCAGCACTGGCTCAGAAGAAGGGGGTCATCTCAGGCAAACACGCTCCCCCCTGGCCCTCAGCAGGCAGGGAGGAGGGAGTGTAAAGGTTAGGCAGCTCTTCTGCCGGTGCCCTTTTTAATTTCCTGCTTAGAATGTTAGGCTGCTCTGTGGCTCCGCCACTGCACTGCCCAGCGGCCTTAGCTCTCGCTGTGGTGCTGGGATGGGGGTGGCCAGGCAGTGCAGACCCAGCCACCTTTGCCTTCACTTCCCCCGGCCGGAAAGCAGGCTTCCCGGGTTGAGAACAGGGGGTGGAACATTAGGCCAGGCCCACACATCTGCAAGTGCTAGCGTATCCCTGAGGCCAGCAGGCGAAAGGGACTGTAAGCATCAGAGGGTGTTACTACAACCGCCCACCCGCCGTCAGGCTTCACTGGCAGCGGACTGGACTGGGGCAAGGTGAGCCCTCTGTGTCTCAGGTTCCTCACTGAGAAATGAGGATAATCACCCAGTCTGTGCACGGGATTGCGATGGGGTGGAAGATGATGAGTGTAAGGTACTAGAGTGATCCCTGCTGGAGTCTGTTATGCCAATCCGATTGCCAGGACGAAAATGGAATTATTCAGATGTACAAGCATTATTGTGGGGTGATGTTTTTCCCTCTTTTTGTATGCAGAAGTTAAGTTTAGAGGTGAGGGGGCAGGAATTTCAAATTAGCTCAGTTCTGGCTGTTTCCCAAGGAGAACCTGAGCACTTGTTGGAGTGCTGGGTAGAAAGCCCACTTTTCTTAGCTGGATGACCTCGGAGTTTGTGACCCATGGCAGCATGCAGCCTTCTGGGGGAAAGCTTGGGTCGGTTCTCAGCCTGGGAGCAGCTCCGCTTCTTAACCCTGTTGACCGATCCCTGGAGTTGGGCTAAAGTTCCCCAGGGGACCTGTGACTCCTGCATTCCAAAAATGTTGAAGGTGGCTGGAAGGAGGAGGAAGAGGCAGGGGAAGAAGGCTGGGGACCACAGGAGAGAGGGGGATGGGGAGCTTTTGGAATTATTACTGGGTCAACCCAGGGAACTCTTTTGTCACCCTCTAGGTAAATGGATGAAAGGAGAAATACAATGCGCTCATTTCATCAAGTGCCAAAAGTGTTTGATAAAATTCAACCCTTGGGCCGGGGATGTAGCTCAGTGGTGCTGCTGCCTGCCTCGCCAGCACAAGGTCCTGAGTTTGATCCCCAGTTCCAAAACAAAAAACAAAATTCAACCCTTGTTTCTCCACCCTTAGTGGACCTTGGAGGGTGGGGAAGTAAATAAGGAAAAGCTGGCCGTGGAAAGTGCAAGTGATATTATAGTCTGATGAAGAGGCTGGCAGAGGCGATGGCAATCCATTAGCACTAACAGGGAGTGTGGCCCCATGGCCTCACCAGGTCCTCATGCAGAAATCGCAAGCTTCCTGTATCCTGGCAAAAAACGAATTTGAAAATGTAGTTTTAACAGGAGCCTGTTCGTAGTAAACAAAGACTGTGCAATAATGAGTAATAAACCTATTGAGAAATATACGATACTCAGGTGAGGAAGATTATAGAGTTTCACTGAGGATTATAAAGTTGTGCATAAATGGAAAGTGTAGGCCTTCCATGGGCAGACTGGATGCCATAAAGATGTGGAGTCTGTGCATATTAACCCATGAATTCGGGATAATCCAGATTAAAATCTTAGCAGGATTTCTCATAGAACTCCACAGCTGACTCTAAAATCAGGAAGGAAGACAAGGAGCCTAGAGAGAGCACTGCGGTGATGCCTTGTAGAAGCTCAGGAGGCACAGGAGCTGCTCGGAAAGCAGGGCCCAGGGACCCACAAGTGTGTGAGGACCAGCTGCTTCCTGGGGCACTGCATGCTGCCGGGGGGAGTGCCCGCTTCCACAGCAATCTCCAGATAGTCAGTTCCGATTGAAAGGAAAGTTTAGAAAGCTCACATCATTTCAAAATAAATTCATCTCCGTAAAAAGCTAAATGTAAGAATAAAAGGTATTAGGCAGAAATAATAAAAGCATTTATTACCTTGGCAAAGGGATGTCTTAAATATGACATAAAAGCTGGACATATTTGACTATTTAATTATCGAAAGCTTCCCTGTAGGAGGGTAGGGTTTTTCCAGAAATGCATGGTTGGTTTAATACCAGGAAAATATCCAGTGATGTACCATTGTAGACATCAGGAGCTGCTCAAAGAGTACTGAGATAAAACTCTGGACTTTCCTAATAACAACTATATAAAATAACAGTAGGAGAAATTACTGATATGATGAAGACTATCTGTCTCGAACTCATTTATTCCTTTCTTTCTTGTTTTTTTCTGAGACAGGGTGTTGCTATGCGATCCAAACAAGCCTCAAACTCACTACCTAGCCCAGGCTGGTCTCCAGCACTCAGTCCTCCTGCCTGAGCCTCCTGAGTGCTGGGATTACCAGCATGTGCTCCCAGCTTCCAAACTGATTTCTCCACACTTGATCTTAGCCAAAAGGCCAAGAAGCAATCCAAACTGATTTCTCAATAGTGAAGTGCTAATGCCATTTCCTGTAAGATCAGAAGCAAATCAGCATCCCCATTTTCATTATTTTTCAACATTGTTTTAGAAGTTCTAGAGCCTGTAATATGTTAGACATAAAAGAACTGGTATGAATATGAATAAAACCAGGCATAGGGCCAGGGATTTAGCTCAGTGGTTTTGCCGCCTGCTGCGCAAGTGCAAGGACCCGAGTTCAATTCCTGGTACCAAAAAAAAAGTAAATAAAAATAAATAAATAAATAAAAATAAAACCAGGCATGGTGGCACACACCCATCATCCCAGCACTCTGGAAGGGTGAGGCAGGAGGATCACAAGTTCAAGCCCAGCCTGGGCAATTTAGCAGTTTAGTGAGACTATCTCCAAAAACATTTTTAAAGGCCTGGGCATGTAGCTCAGTATGAAGACCCTGGATTCAATCCCCAGTACTGCAACAATAACAAATTACATATATATAGATATATTTTTATATGTAGATATATGGAAAGGTAAATAAATATTTTTCTTTTTTCTAATATATAATTGTATACTTAGAAAATCTAAGAAGCCCTAATTTTAAAAAGTTGGAATTAAGTAGGGGTTAGAGTGATAGATACAAGGCACATACCTAAAACTCAGTGCACTTCTCCACACTGGCAGTTAGCAGCCAGAGGGGGAGATAGGGAAGGTGTTCCATTCATAAGAGCAATTAAATCCATAAAATACTTGGGAATTACATTAAAAGAACAATTAGGGAATCTACTCGAAAAGATAGAAAACTATAAAATCTTGAGGGACATAAAAAAATCTGAACAAATAGGCAATAGTCGAGCTCTTGCTGGAAGGTTTAATGTAATAAAATAAATGTAAATCAACTGCCTTTCCAGCTATAATCTCAATGCAGCTTTTTTCAGGGGGCTGATTTCCAGTGCTGCAGCCAACAAAGAGCATGACCGGCCCGGCCCGGCCTGGCCTGGCAGCTCTGGACCATAGGCAGGGTAGACAGGTGCTGCTGGGCTGTCCCTAGCCCTGCACGGGCTCCGAAGGTTGGGGCGGGGAATGTGGGAGTGGCTGGGTCCATGGTGGGACCAGCTGTGGATCAGGCTGTAAGGTGACCCCGAGGACCATGAGGCCTTGGCCGGCAGCAGGCCCAGCTCCGAGGGACACCGTGGAGCCCAGGACCGCACTGATCTGAACAGGATGCGCTGGTCTCCAGCGAGGCGGTGTCAGTGAGGGGGCTGGTGCTCAGACTCTTAGTCCCGTGGGAAGGGCCAGAGCAGACCTTGGGTGCCAGGCCCGGTCCCTCGGACTTATCTCCATCCCATCTCTGCAGGCGTTGCCATGGTGATGGCGGCCGAGGACAGCGTGGTCCGGGTGGTGGTGCGGGTGCGGCCCCCCACCCCTCGGGAGCTGGAGAGCCAGCGGCCGCCTGTGGTCCAAGTGGTGGACGACCAGGTGCTGGTGTTCGACCCTGAAGCGCCTGCCGGGGGCCTCCCTGCCCTCGAGTGGGGCGGTGCCCAAGAGGGCCCGAGGAGGAAGGGCAAAGACCTGACGTTTGTCTTTGATCGGGTGTTCGGGGAGGGGGCCACGCAGCAGGACGTCTTCCAGCACACCACCCGCGGCGTCCTGGACAGCTTCCTGCAGGGCTACAACTGCTCAGGTGAGAGAGGAGGGGCAGGCCTGGGATGGAGGCGCATGGGCTGGCACAGGCCGGGCGGGGCAGGAGGGCTGAGGGCCCACTGCCACCTGCACCCATGTCCTCTAGTGTTTGCATACGGGGCCACTGGGGCCGGGAAGACACACACCATGGTAGGGCAGAACGGGGACCCTGGCATCATGTACCTGACCACCATGGAGCTGTACCGGCGCCTGGACGCCCTGCGGGAGGAGAAGCGATTCGAGGTGCTGGTCAGCTACCTGGAGGTGAGGCTGAGCCAGGGCGGAACGGGTGGGACTGAAGCGGGACCTGCCCTCTCCGCTCCTGCCACCAGGGCCTGGGCCTGGCACGCACACCCCCAGCTAGTGCCAGGCGACCCCAGGCCACTCCTGCCCCTCTCCCCAGGTCTACAATGAACACATCCAGGACCTGCTGGAGCCGAAGGGGCCCCTCAACATCCGCGAGGACCCCAGCAAGGGCGTGGTGGTGCAGGGCCTGTCCTTCCACCAGGTGCGGGCGGGGACAGCCTCGGGTTGCGGGCTGCGTGGCGGTGGCCCTGACCAGCCGGGCCCTGGCCATCCCCACAGCCTGCCTCGGCCGAGCAGCTGCTGGAGATGCTGAGCCGGGGGAACCGAAGCCGCACGCAGCACCCCACCGATGCCAACGCCACGTCGTCCCGCTCCCACGCCATCTTCCAAGTGAGCAGGGCACGGGGACCCGGGTATAGTGCCCACGGCCCCGCCCCGCTGCCCACCTCACCCTGCCCGCTGCCTGCCCAGGTCCTTGTGAGGCAGCAGGACCGTGTGCCGGGGCTGGAACAGACCCTCCGGGTGGCCAAGATGAGTCTGATTGACCTGGCGGGCTCCGAGCGGGCATCCAGCACCCACGCCCAGGGCGAGCGGCTGCGGGAGGGGGCCAACATCAACCGCTCCCTGCTGGCCCTCATCAGCGTCCTCAACGCCCTGGCCGACACCAAGGTGAGGCAGCGCGGGCAGCAACCCCACCATGAAACCACCCAGACTCCGGACGAGCGCCCGGACCCTTGAGCGGGACCCTGTCCACCGCCCTAGCCCTACTTCCTTCCCAGGGCCGCAGGCCGCACGTCCCCTACCGGGACAGCAAGCTGACCCGCCTGCTGAAGGACTCCCTCGGGGGCAACTGCCGCACCGTGATGATCGCCAACATCAGCCCCGCAGGCCTGGCCTACGAGGACACGTACAACACCCTCAAGTACGCCGACCGGGCCAAGGAGATCCGGCTCACGGTGCGTGACGGCTGGGGACGGCAGTCTGGGCAGGGCCATAGCCCAGGAGGGGAGAGGCAGGGCCAAGACAGCACCCCAGATCCCACCCAGCGTCCCAGACAGAGGCAAGACGCAGCCTGGAGTCCCTCTTCAGGTGTGACACTGCCCTGCCTCGGAAGAGTCGGGGTGGACAGAAGCAGGGCAGTCTCCACAGAGGGAGACCTGGAGGGGTGGCCAGCAGCGGCCCAGGGTTCAGGCTTGCTCGAGGCAGCAGGACATGTTCCTCGGTGCCTCATTTTCCTGAGCACCCATGCGCTCCCTGAGGACAGCGCGGCCGTGGGTGGGACCTCCCTCCTCCCCGGGAGCCCGGCCAGTGTGCCCTGCCAGGCTCGGGCCTCCCAGGCCGTCCTCTGCTGGACGCTGCTGTCCCCGACCCCACACAGCTGAAGAGCAACGTGGTCGCCCTGGATTGTCACATCAGCCACTACACCACCGTCTGCCAGCAGCTGCAGGCTGAGGTGAGTGGCTGCTCCCTGGACCGAGGGCCAGCAGGGCCTGTGCCCCGTGCCACCTGCTCACCGCCCGCCCTGCGGGGGCTGCGCTCTGCTGTTGCAGGTGACCGCCCTGAGGACAAAGCTGCAGGAGTACGAGGCCAGAGCACAGGCCCCGGGGCGGTGAGTCCTGCCGCCGACCAGGCTGGGAAGCCGGGCCCCACTCTGCTCCTGCAGCCAGGGCTGGGGTCGCACCGGGAGGCCCTGTGTCCCATGAGGAAAGGGTCCCTAGGCCACTCACCACGTGGGTGTCACTGCTGCTTTCTTTTCCTTTTTTTTTTTTGGTACTGGGGATTGAACTCGGGACCTTCCGCTTGTGAGGCAGGTGGCAGAACCACTGAGCTACATCCCTGGCCCTGTTTTCTTTTTCTTTATGGCATCAGGGATTAAACCCAGAGCCTTTGCCCTGAGCTTCAGGCCTCCCTCTTTCACGTCTCGCTCAGAGACAGGGTCTTGCCGAGTGCTAACTCGCCCAGTCTGAGCTTGGACTTGTGATCCTCCTGCCTCAGCTTCCCAGCTCGGCTCAGGGCCATTTGTGACTCCTCAGCCCCTGGCCACTGCCCTTTGTCGCTCTGTGCTGTGGGCTCTGCTGCCCAGGGCCACAGAGAGCCCACCCCCCACATCCTGTCTCCAGCTCCTCCCCTCCACCTTCCCAGCTCCCTCTCGCTGCTCGGCGCCCCCAGTCAGCCCTGCACCCCAGGGCTCCCCCCGGAGTCTGGAACCCAACAGGACCAGAGCCCAGAGGCAGAGGCCCAGGAGCTATGGGCCCTGGAAGGGAGCTGTGCAGACCAGGGGCAGCCCCAACGCAGTTGGGACGGAGGCCCAGCCCAGGTAGGACTGGGGCAGGCAGGGCCTGGGCTGGGTGGGCTTGAGGGCTGGAGCTCTGGAAGAAACAGACGCCCCTCCCTGTGCCCGCCGCCCACCTCTGCCTTCTGTGCATGTGGTCACTCAGGGAGGGCCTCAGGAGGTCATCCTGCCTCTGCCACCTGTACCTCCTCCCTCCTCAGACTCCAGCCCAGGTGCCAGAGCTGAGCCCCAGACCCTCAGTTTCCAGGATGCCCGGCCTGATCCTGCCGCCCTCGCCGGCCTCGGGGCCCAGGTCACTGCAGAGACCTCGAAGGGACCACTCTGGGCGGTGGGTATCTTCTCTGCCCGCTGGGCCGCTGTGGGAGGCAGGGGCTCTGCTCCTGGAGAGGGAGCTGGGCTTGGGGCTGTGGACGCTGCTTCCCGCTTAGCGTCCGACCCCACGTGGCGCGTTCCTCACCCGCCTCCCACCAGGTCCTCGCTGAGTCACCCGTGGTCCCCCATGTGCATGAGTGTCCGCACCAGTGCAGCACTGCATTAGGTGCAGGCCAGGCTGTACCCCCTCTGCTCCCACCTGCTCCGGGCACGGCTGGGCCTCCTCCTGGGCTGTCGCGCTCCAAGCAGTGTATTTAAAGCTCCTGGACAGAAGGCCGGTTTAATTTTATTTCTTGTCGGGAGTGTCTGTTCCCGACTCAGCAGAAATGCTGTGGCCTGAATAATCAGCGCTCATTATGTCTTCCGCGCCCGAGGGCCCAGGGGCAGCACACCAGCTGCGAGCCCTGCAGAACCCAGGCGCCGGCTCCCCTGCAGATACTCAGCGTTCTCCGGGTCCCTGTCACAACCGGAGAGGACCCGGGGCCCCACTGCCACTCTGCCTGGGCTTGGCCGTGATGTGGGGTCGTCCCCCGTTCTCCTTTCTCCTGGAGACGACAGGGGACCCTGAGAGCCAGGGGCTGCAGATCACTCCAGAACTTTCCAGAGCATCTCCATACACGGAAACACTGACAGCCACGCCAAAAATAGTTTCTTTCTGACTTCAGAATCTTGGACTCCCTGGGCCCTGAGCAGATCTGAGATCCGGTTCGGTGGTTTTTCAGGTTTTTTTTCCAGCTGTGAAGTCCTCTCTTAGTATGGAATCTCACACTGAGGTCGAACAGGAAGGAGAGACAAAGCAGTCGCTCTGTCTCTGATGCGTGTTAGAAACCTATTTTGAAGACCTCTGATTTGTTTTTTCCTTTTTCTACTGGGGATTGAACCCAGGGCCTTTTCACTGAGTGGCATCCTCAGCCCTTTTTTTTTTTGGTACCGGGGCTGGAACTTAGGACCTTGTGCTTACGTGGTGCCGCCGAGCTAAATCCCTGGCCCCATCCTCAGCCCTTTTTTAAGAAGCCAGGCTCAAACTTAGAATCCTCCTGCCTCAGCCTCCCCGAGTGCAGAGACACAGGTGTGCACCATCACACGCAGCTTGAGGTGGGCGCTCACCCTCCACCTTACTCTGCCCCTAGGGTACATGGATTTAGGGTCACAGCTAGTGAGTGGCAGAGCCGGGAGGAAACTCGGGCCTTTCGAGTGTGCAGTCCTCTCCCGCTCTTGCGCTCCCCGAGCGTGGAGGATGGTGTCACAGTCCACCGTTGCCATGGCAGCTTGGCACTTAGCAGGGGTGGGGCCAGGCGGAGGGAACTGGGGCCGGGTCAGGTGAGGCAGCCAGCCTGGTGACCGAGACCCTGTCCCAGGCTGGCCCTCCGGGTGCTGCGCCTGGCCCAGCAGCAGTACACGCTGCTCCAGGCTGCTGGCCTGCTCACTCCCGACCTGACCGAGGAACTGGAGATGCTGCAGCAGCTGGTGCAGGAAGCAGGTGCAGATTCTGGGGCCGAGAGCTGCGGGATGCTGGGCCTGGCTGGAGCGGCCCCTCTGGCTCAGGAGCTGTCCTCAGAGTCCTGTGAGTGCCACCCTGCCCACCTACGGCAGCACCCAGGCCTCTAGCGTTGGGGCTCCTTCCGGTCTGGCATCTGGCTCCCCAGTGTCTACACCTCCTCCTCCTCCTGCCCAGGGTCTTCAGGCTACCGTGGCCCTGTGACCCGGACCATGGCAAGGCGACAGAGCAGCCTCACACACACCCTGGGATTCCCCTCTGGGCCTGATGACACCCCAGCCCTGGTGTCCCGACAGCCCACAGAGAAGAGGAGGAGACGGAGCCCCACCGAGCCCGACAGCCCCCTGGTCCCGAGGCAGGAGACCAAACGCCAGCGCCAGTCCTCCTTGCCCTGCATGAGAAAGAGGCTGCTGCCTGAGCCCTGCACCCCTGCCAGGGCCCTGGCCTCCCCAACCTGCCACTCCCCTCGCCTCTGCCCAGCCACTGTCATCAAACGCCGGGTGCCCCTGGGGCCTTCGGCCCTGCAAAACTGCTCCACACCCCTGGCCCCGCCTACCCGTGACCTCAACGCCACCTTCGACCTCTCTGAGGAGCCCCCCTTGACACTCAGCTTCCAGGAACAGACTGGGCCCGGCCAGCCCTGCGTCGCCAGGTGGGTCTGGCACCCTCCTGCCTGGGGCCCAGGGTCAGCGAGGGACGGGAGGGGAGGGTGCTGGACTCTTGGAGCCAGACGTCGGCCACCTGCGTAGAGTACTAGACTTCTCAGGTCCATATGCCCAGCTTCCAGGCCCACTCCACCTCGTGCAGGCACTGGGGACCCAGCTTGGGACCCGGGACACAGCCCAGGCCCCCTGAGCCTCAGCAAAGCCCAGGCCCAGCAGCTCTGTCCCCAGGTGCCTGTTGCTGCCATGGAAGCCCCAGGTGTCTCCTGCCTAGCATCTAGGATGGGGTCCTGAGAAGGTGCTGGCACCCCCACCCTCCACCTCCTTGGAAGGAGGGGCAGCAGCCACTCAGGACAGTCTGGGCCAAGAGTGACTGGCCTGGCCTGGGTGCAAGTGGCTGGAGTGCCCACCGCACCCTGAGCTGGCCACAGCGCCTGGCAGCTCAGCTGGTGCGGAGCAGGGCAGGCGGAGGCCGGAATAGTCTGAACTCCGGTTCCCAGGCCCCCAGAGGCTGACAGCTGGGTGTCCTCCAGCTCACCCTATCACTCAGCTGTGGTCTGCCAAGGGCTCCCCGCAAGCAGAGCCGCCCTGTGCGGGAAGGGGCTGGCGCTGTGTCCACCCTTGATTGGCCTCCCTCACCCTCTCCCCAGCAGGCCAGCATTCCTGTTCACTGAGCGGGGGCCCAGGCCCACGACCTCCCTGCCCCGGACCTTGACCTGCAAGAAGAGGCGCCCAGTGAGGTGAGGCCCGGGCTTGAGGCAGGGAAGGTGCTCAAGGGCAGTGGGCCCTGGGGCTGAGCCTGGCCTGCCCTGGGGCCCTTGGCTGTCGCTGCTTCCACATCCTGGGGTGGAGGGCAGCCCCCCTCCGAGGGACACGTGCCGCACTCACAAACCAGCACCAGGACTGCCCCTCCTCTCCCGCTCTCTGAGCCCTAGTGTCCAGGACCCCGCCCGTGTGCCCCCGTCCTGGGCGGGCGAGCTGTGACCTCCTGCCTTCCCACAGTTCCTCCGCCCCCCTGGGCCGAAGCCGCATTGCCCGCCTGCCCAGCAGCTCCTTGAAGAGGCCCGCGGGGGCCCTGGCCATCCCAGGTGACCTCCCTGGGGACAGGAAGAGGGAGGGACGCCTGAGCCTGCAGAGGGGCCGAGAGGGCCAGCACAGCCTCACCTCCCCTCTTCCTCTCCCTGCCATGGCCCACAGAGCCGCCCTCGAGGCTGAAGACCCAGGAGAAGCCTGCCAGGGCTGGGGGCCGCGTCGCCCGGGTGTCCTGATCCCTGGCTGCCCCCAGCCTGGGCACTCGGAGCCAGCACCCGGTCCTTGCCACCCGCCCTGTTGATTCTGTTGCCACCCTCTTCCCTCGAGGGCGGTGCTCAGCCTCCCAGCATGTTCTGGTGCCGTTCACGTGGGCAGTTTTGAGGGTGCTGCCTGCCCGGGCCACACCAGACACTGCAGTGGGGAGCAGACGGGCCTGGTGTGGCTCCTGGTAGCCCAGCGGGGCATCCTCAGCCCTGGCTTTGATCCACAGAGGAGGCTCTTCATCTGCCCAGGGCGCACCCCCTGTGCGAGTCATCCCCGCGCCTCCCTGGGTGTAAATGCCAGTGCATACGGGGTTGCACCCCGATCTCCCGTCTGTGTACAGAACAGGCACACGTGGACACAGGTCCATCCTTCCCACCGTGATTAATAAACCAGCTCTCTCTGGTTGAGAGCCTTTGGCACCTACACAGGGAGGACACTTCTACCCCGACCCCAGGGCGGAGCGGCTCCACACTCAGGCCCATCCTGGAGCCCCACCTGCATGGGGGACGGAGGGATCCACACAGCTCCGCTCTCCACAAAGCCAGTGCCGGCTGAACGAATTAACTAAACACGATTACAGAAGCCTGTGTTGACTTGCTACTGAGCACAGACACATTAAGGCTGTCTACCACAGGGTCAAGTCTCAGGTGGGCGACCACGCTGTTTGGGGGAGCAGCTGCCCACCGGCTGTGTCCGACTTGGTCCAATCCCTCAAGGAGGATGGGACAGCACCACACCAGCCAGCGCCACCGCAGAGTGCATGGCTGGAAGAGGTGAATGAGGAAGGCAGGAAGGCTCCTGGGGTGGAAGCAGCAGGCGCCTCTGCATTCATCCTGCCGCTGCTTCCCCTGTGCAGGGTGGTGCCCAGGGTGGCTGGAGCTTCGAGTCTGCACCCCTGGCAGCCTGGTGCAGCCCTGACCCTGGGTCCGCTGGTGTGGGCGAGATGCAGACTGACTTCCAGGGCACCAAGGACCTCCTCCCTTGGGCATCGGTGCTCCCCGCGTGGAGGCAGCAGGCAGGGTGCCATGAAGGGGACAAGGGGCTGCCATAGAGGTCGCCCCAACAGGCACTCCCGGTGCTGCTCACTCCGCAGACATCTGTGGCTCTCAAGTGCAGCCCACGGTCTCCTGCTGACCAGCGACGCCCTCGACCTCAGGGTCGGCCCACAGCAGGCCTTCATGGGCCTGAGGCCTGAGCCCAGCGGGGCGGCAGGATGGGCTAACCTCCGCCGGGAGCCTGTGGATCAGGTGGCTCCTGCTGGACCACCCCAGATGGTGATTGACACCCCGGCACAGTGCCCAGCTATGTCTCCTCAGGCCGCACCCTGGCTCCCCACACTCCCCAAGCTCACCCGGGCCCATCCTGGGGTCGAATCTGCTTTTTGTAGGACCCAGCTTGGTGCTGGGAGCTGGGAACAGAATGCAACTCAACCTTCCCATGGGGTGGGGGCGGCGCCGATCCCTGTGACAAAGGGAGCCAAACCCTCCGGGAGCACCGACAGCTGCCAGGGGAGAGGAGGCACCCAGCCTGGGGTCTTCTGCGGCAGCCTCTACCTCGGGGCCCTGCCCTGTCTCCAGTGTCCCCCAGGAGTGGACCCTGCTGGTGGGTGTGCTTGGGGTGTGGTTCCCAGCCCGCCTCCGGGGGGTGGTGTCCTGGTGCATGGGAAGACAGCGGGCAATAAAGGGGCCAGGGGACCCGGCCCGATCCCTGGCCCATCTGGAGGACAGGCTGGGAGCACCAGGCCACTGCCCCCGTCCCCTCACCGGTCAGTCCCCATCTCACTGTCCCCTCCTGGAGGAACAGACAAGCAGGGAGCAGAGCCAGGGAAGCAGTTAGACAGGGGGGCTTGGGGAGAGACTGAGCTTTAACCCCGCACGGCAGCCTGGATCAGGGAGGTGACTCAAGGTGACCTTGCACCTGCGGTGGGGCCAGGGAAGGAGGCGACTGTGGGAGTCCCCTCGGGGCATCCACCTGGGGTCTCCAGCCTCTGTCCAGGGTGGAGGTGGGGACATGGATGCCAACCCCACCTTGTCACCAGCCACTGCCCCATCCTAGCAACAGCCAGTCCCTTCCCAGGTTGGCCAAGAGGACATGGTGGCCCTCACTCGGCCACGCTCACTTCAGGGGTGTGAATGTGGATGGAGAAGCACAGGGAAGGTGTAGGGAAGCTGTGATGGCAGCCATGGTGATGCACCAGCATCCCAGTCACCCAGGAGGCTGAGGCAGAAGGGTCCCCAGCTCAAGAGCCTGGCGCATTTCCCTGGCATGCAGGAAGCCTTGGGCTCTGTCCCCAGCACCAGGAAACAAACGCAGGCCACCCGCTGTGTGTTTCCATAGGCGTGGCGGGCGTCCCGACAGATGGAGACTGGAGGCCCTGAAGCCCACGCTGTCACAGCCAGCGAGGAGCAGGCCTGTGCCCTCCCCTCTGGAAGGCAGTGGCAGGTGGCAGACAAAGTCTGAGTGAGAGGTGCTCGTGGGACAGCCCACCGCCTCTGCTCCCAGAAGCTCGGAGCTGCCTGCGCGACTTAGCAAGGTCCTGTCTCAAAATAAAAATACAAAAAGGGCTGGGGATGTTGCTTGGTGCTCTGGGTTCAACACTCAGGAGGAGGGAGGGAGGGAAAGGAAAGAGCCACCCGCCCAGGACGGCTTTCTCCCTCAGGAGCAGCAGCCTGGGCAGCCGAGCACTGCCATCTAGTGACCATAGGGCTCAGTCCCCTCCTGGCAGGGCTGGGGTGCTGGCCAAGGGCCACCATGGACGGACGGAGGCTCCTCACCTCAGCCTGCTCGCTGCCATCTGTGCCAGGCCCTGCGTGAGGGCCGGGGGCAAAGGGAGCCACCACTGGGTTGGAGCTGGCGAAGCAGGCAAACGCCAGGCCCCTGTGGGCTGAGGCCAGGTGGGGCAGGTCTGTCTCTGTCTCGGGCCCAGGCTCTGCCCGCTGACCAGGGGCCACCCGGCAGCTGTGAGCGTCACTCAGAGGGGCAGCAGGGGAAGCGTCGCCGTCCGACCCGGGGCCTGGTGACGGACGCATCCAGCGGAAACTATGCAGCTGTGACAGGGATGCTGGAGACAAGTATTTATTGATGTGGGAAAATGTTCACAGCAGATTGTTGAGTCAGGAAAGCAAATTGCAAAATAATTTCTACAGCATGAGCCTTTTTTTAAAAAAAAGATTTTATATGTTTAGAAAAAAATCTGGTAATGTTTATCTCCATGTGCCGAAATTACGGATGAATTCTTTTGTATTGCTTATCTGTATTCTCTTATTTTTTTTTTGTTACAATGCAATAAAAAATAGCAACAATGACTTGGGGAGACCATGCCAATGTGTGTGAGGGTGGACGGCCTGGCACAGTGAGGAGGAGGACAGAGCCGCTCAGGCTGCCCCCCGTCGGTCACTCTGTCCCCCGTTCTCTTGGGGACGCCAAGGCCGAGGCTGCCTGCTGCCTCACCAGGTCGAGGGCCCAGGGCTGCAGCGGCTGGGAGGGGCCCGTCACAGCCTGGCAACGCTGGGCCAGCCTACAGCTCCCCTGGCGCCGCCGGTGACTGACCTGGCACAGGCACAATGGCCCGGTGGGCACACAGCCTGCTTCCCGCGGCCCCGCCTCCCTCGGGCTCATTCCGGGAAGGACGTGGAGCGGGGCTTGCCTGACAGTCAGGGTCTTGGGACAAAAGCGGCGCCGCCCCCTGGGGCAGCCCCGGCCCTGTGGCGCCTGCCTGTAGGGAACCGGGCCCCACTCAGGCGCGGGGGAGGCAGGGCGTGCCTGCGTGCGTGCGTGCTTGCTTGTGCCCGTGCGTGTGAGCGTGCGGGGCTGTGCTTCACAGAAGCCCCGAGGCACAGGCGGCTGAGGCGCTGGGTGGGACCTGCACCCCTCACCTCGCACGCCTGCTGCCCTGAGCCACGGCCCCTCCCCAGCCACCCCGCCCCACGCAATGTCCAGGAACAGGAGAGGGATGGGGAGGTGGCGCCACAGGGACGCAGTCGCCCAGTGCGGCCAGGCCATTCGTGACCGCTTTGTGGTGATGTCAGGGCCTGGCTTCGGGTGCAGGGAGGCGGGCGGGGGAGGAAGGGGAGGCTGTGCCTCGCCCTACTGGGGCCTGCAAGGACCTAGGTTCACCCTCTGGCAGTCCAGGCCCAGCGCTGAGCCCCAGGGAAGCAGGGGAGAGCAGGAAAGGGGACAGGCGTGCCCCGGGGCTCAGCAGGAGGCCCGAAGCGCTCCAGACTCCACCTCCGCAGCACTGGAGGGGCAGCAAGTCAGGGGGCCCCGGGTGATGCCATCCAAGGTGGGCCTGGCCGCAGGCCCACACCCTCATCCCAGCTACTCGGGAGTCTGAGGCAGGATTGCAAGTCTGAGGCCAGCCTGGGCAACTTAGGCCCTGTCTCAAAATACAGATTTTAAAAGGGATGGGGACGTAGCTCAACGATAGAGCACCCTGGGCTCAATCTCCAGTGTAGCAAAGCAAAACCAGGCAGGTCAGAGGTCATCCAGCCCTCCGGGGACCGGGTTTCTTGAGAGGGTCTCCCTGTGCCTGGTCCCGGCCCAGGGCCAGAACCCTGCAGGGCCCAGGCTCATGTGCAGGAAGCCCTGACTCTGGGCACAGCGGCCCCACAGGCCTGGCCCCAGCCCAGCCCCACCCCTCCAGCCATGCCAGGGGCGTTGCTGGGCAGCCTGGGCACTGCCAGCCAGGCCCAGCCTCCATAAAGCCCTGGCGGCCGGGGTCTGGGGCCAGCAGGATGGAGCGCAGACTCGTGTCCTCTGTCCGTCGCTCCTATGCTTCCTCCTCCTCGGAGACAGTGGCTAGGGGCCTGCGGGCCGTGCGCCGCCTGGGTCCAGACCCCCGCCCTGCCCCGGCCTGGGTGTCCCCTCCGCTCCCGGCCCGGCTGGACTTCTCGCTGGCTGGGGCTCTCAACACTGGCTTCAAGCAGACACGGGCCAGCGAGCGGGCCCAGATGATGGAGCTCAATGACCGGTTTGCCAGCTACATCGAAAAGGTCCGGTTCCTGGAGCAGCAGAACAAGGCCCTGGCTGCTGAGCTGAACCAGCTGCGGGCTGCAGAGCCCACCCGGCTGGCCGACGTCTACCAGGCCGAGCTCCAGGAGCTGCGGCTGCGGCTGGACCAGCTCATGGCAGGCAGCGCCCGGGTGGAGGTGGAGCGCGACAACCTGGCCCTGGACCTGGGCGCCCTGCAGCAGAAGTGAGGACGGTGGGGATGGGCCTGGGAGCTGCCCCAGACCCCTCCTGGGAGGCCCCTCCGGGGGTGGGAGGGACCCCTGGGCACGGTGCCTGGGCTGGGTCCCCTCCTGGAACCTGGGTCTGCTGGCCTGGGGAGGCAGGAGCAGAAGGCGGTGTCCCCAAGGAGCGAGCAGGCAGGACCGGCCCGGTGAGGATCAGGGTCTCTCCTCGAGCCACTTCCCTCTGCAGGGCTGTGAGGCAGAGATGGAATTCAAACCCACCCTGTGGTCACTCGGGCCAGGAAACCCCAGGGCCCAGCTGCATGTGGGGTGCCTGGCCCCCATAAGCCGAGACAAAGCCCTCACCTGTTCCCTAGGGCTGGGGCTCGAGGGCCTCTGACCCTCTCCTCCTGGCCCTCCTGGGCCTGGGTCTCCAGACAGCCATTCCAGGCAGACTTGGGGGACAGGGGTCCTCAGAAAAGCCTGGACCCACGGACGTCCCCCTCCCCAGGCTCCAGGATGAAGCCACCCTGAGGCTGCAGGCCGAGAACAGCCTGGCCAGCTACAGACAGGTAGGAGGGGGCCCTCGGAGCAGCCCCAGCCACAAGGAGAGGGCGAGGGTGCGGTCAGCACTGTGGCAACCTCTCCTACCCCAGGAGGCCGACGACGCCACCCTGGCCCATCTGGACCTGGAGAGGAAAATCGAGTCTCTGGAGGAGGAGATCCGGTTCCTGGGGAAGATCCATGAGGAGGTGAGGCCAGGACAGGGGAGCGGGCCCCACAGAGAGAGAAGGGACAGAGAGCCAGGGACAGGGAGAGACAGATGGGGAGACAGAGACAGGGAGACAGAGAGAGAGACTAAGAGACAGAGAGACTCAGGGAGAGACAGAGACAGGGAGACAGAGACAGAGAGGGGAGAGACTCAGAGACAGGAGACAGAGATGCTCCGAGAGACAGAGAGACTCAGACAGAGACTCGACTTGGGACAGAGAGAATCTGGAGAGGCAGGGCTGACGCAGGGAGTGCCCAGCCCCCCAGCAGGCCCGGACCCCAGCCCTGGAGGCCGGGAGGCTGCCTTTCCCTTCACGTCAGCCCGAAAGGCAGGAGCCCTTCTGCACCTCTCACAGACCCGAGGCCCAGGGAGCTCAAAGGACACAGCAAGGTCACCTCTCACCATTAGTCTCTCTGGCTCCATTGGCCTCCATTACAATAAGAGCCACTCATAAAAATTTTTAAATCCTGCTGAGCTCTGGCTCAACCTGGATGCCTGGGGGCCCCAGGAACAGTTACATCTCCCGAGGTCACAGGTGCAGGTCTGGCACCCACACCCTCCTGTCCAGCCTGGAGGACGATGCCACAGGCTCCCTGTGCCCCTTGGCCATACCGGGCGGAGGGTGGGTGGATGCTGGGCCACTGCTGTGCCCATGTCCCGAGACCTGAGCCCTTCTCCCTCCCTGGCCAGGAGGTTCGGGAGCTCCAGGAGCAGCTGGCCAAGCAGCAGGTCCACGTGGAGATGGACGTGGCTAAGCCCGACCTCACGGCGGCCCTGAGGGAGATCCGCACGCAGTATGCGGCCGCGGCCTCCAGTAACATGCAGGAGGCAGAGGAGTGGTACCGCTCCAAGGTACAGCCTGCCTGGCCGTCCTTCCCAGGAGAGCACCTCCAGAGAAGGGCAGCAGCTTCCAGGGCCACAGGCACTGGTCCTCCTCTCTGCGCTGCGCTGCTGCAGTCGGCCAGCCCCAGCCTCACTGTGCACAGCCTCGCCCTGCACCGGTGCTCCCCGAGCCGCTGGGACGCCTTACCCTGTAACAGGCATGAGCTGGAGCCAGGAAGCTCAGTAACCTGCTCAGCGCCACGCAGCTTCTGATGGGCCACCTGGGTTTCCAGCCCCGCTTTTCCCAGCTCAAGCTCAGGTTCTCCACGCCTCTGCCAGCCTGAGTCCTGGCAATGGAACATCTCCCATTGCCAGGGACACCAAGGGGCACCTGGCCAGGGAGACATGACTCATGGGGACCCCGTGGGCAGGGGAAGATGGGGCACTGGCGCTGGGCAGGGCTGGCCGGGCAGCGTGGAGACATGGGGTCTGGTCTGCAGAGGGGATGGCGACGTCCCAGCCCAGTCCTGTGGCCCCCACCCAACAGGAGCCCCTCCCAGCTCCTCATGTGAGCCCCCTGCCCTCCCGTCCAGTTCACCGACCTCACGGACGCCGCTGCCCGAAATGCTGAGCTGCTGCGCCAGGCCAAGCATGAGGCCAGCGACTACCGGCGCCAGCTGCAGGCCCTGACCTGTGACCTGGAGTCCCTTCGGGGCACGGTGAGCCAGGCAGGCTGGGGGTGGAGCAGGGGATGGCATCCCAGGCCAAGCGGAGGCCCGAGGGACCACCTGCGGCTCCGTCCACCCCCCAGAACGAGTCCCTAGAGCGGCAGATGCGCGAGCAGGAGGAGCGCCACTCGAGAGAGGCTTCCACCTACCAGGAGGCGCTGGCCCGGCTGGAGGAGGAAGGCCGGGGCCTCAAGGAGCAGATGGCCCGGCACCTGCAGGAGTACCAGGAGCTGCTCAACGTCAAGCTGGCCCTGGACATGGAGATTGCCACCTACCGGAAGCTGCTGGAGGGCGAGGAGAACCGGTGAGCCCAGCCCACCCCGGAGAGGGAGGCCACGTCACGTCACCGGCCTGTGCTGACAGGGCCAGTCATCCCACACCCACACCAAGGCTCCCCCACCTCCCAACAGAGCCAGGCTCTCTCCCCACTGCACTGCGCCTCCACGCCCCTTGTCCTCTGCAGAGCCTGTGTGCCCCTCCCCTCCCCGGGTGCTGCTGGGGAAGCTGGGTGACCTGGGGCAGCAGCTCCGCTCACTGGTCCGTGTCTTCTAGCATCACCATTCCCGTGCAGACTTTCTCCAACCTGCAGATCCGAGGTCAGTCCGGCCTGGGCGGGGGGTGAGGCCCATCCTGTGCAGACCGGGCTGGGGCTGAGGCAGGACTGTGCTGGGGACCTCAGACCCGACCCTACCCAGGAGGACCCAGCCACGGCACCTCCCAGCCCTGCAGGGACTCCCAGCTGCTCTACTTCGGGGCGGGCTGGGGTGGGAGCCAACCTCAGATCGTTTGTGTTTCTGTTCTTAACCAACTGCTTGTCGCTGCAGGAGGCAAAGGCACCACAAAAGGGGAGGTCCGCAAGGTCACCAGATACCTCAAAAGCCTCACCATGCGAGTTATCCCAGTGCAGGCCCCGCAGAGTGTAGGCAGAGCCACCGGCTCTCGGTTAGCTGCCCCTTGCAGCTGGAGAGGAGTGGGGCTCGGGGCCACGCTCCTGGTCCCCCAGCCCCCTCCCAGGTGTCCCTTAGAGGACCAGGACAGAGTCACGGTTCCCAGGAACCGCGTGACCAGCCAGGACCCAGCCCAGGCAACTGTAGTGTCGCCTCGAAGGCCTGGTCACTGTGAACGTGGTCCTGCTGGGTGCCCGACGAGCAGCTCACGGGCCAGGAGCGAGCGCCAGCCCGGCCTCCTCCTGTGTGGTGGGGAGCCCAGGCCACCTGGCTCTGCTGTGTCCGCCCGGCGGCCAAGGTGCTCAGGCCGGGCCCACTCAGCCTGGCAGGTTGCTCCCCTCCAGCTGCGGCTCTCACAGGAACAAAGCTTCCTGTCCCTGCTCTTAGCTGCAAATGTCACTGACAGTGACTTGTATTTTCCTCTCAAGGAGGGGCTGCGGCTAAATTATGTTTGATTGTTCTGCGGCCCTCAAACATTCCCATCTTTGGGGATGGAGTATTCAGGACCAGAGGCAGGCAAGCCAGGACCTAGCTCAGTACCAAGTCCAGCCGGTTGGCCAGGCAGGCAACACCGCCACACGACACCAGGGGTCACCAGGCCCAGGCGAGCGATGGGGGCATAGGAAGGAGCTGAGTGCTCAGTGCCCCTCACTCCCCTAGGCGAGCGGGCACTGCCATCTCTGTGGCCAGGGAGGAAGCCAAGGCTGGGTGGGGTCACAGGGCTGGTGAGTGGGCACAGGCTCCCATGCACCAGATCTCCAAGGCCGCTGCTCTGCCCTGTGCACTGGGCTGTCAGGTGCCAGGGCTGGGAACAGCAGCGCAATGACAGCAGTGGAGGGGCCGCCGGGTGCAGGAGCAGCTGCCTGGGGTCCTAAGAGCCCATGGAGGCCTCCCCTCTGCCCGCAGAGACCAGCGTGGACACGAAGTCCGTGTTGGAAGGCCACCTCAGGAGGAACATCGTGCTCAAGACAGTGGAGATGCGTGACGGGGAGGTGAGCAGCCCCGCCCCGGCCCTGCCAGCTGGGCTGTCTCACCCTCAGGTAGGGGGCCCAGCGCCAGCCTGGCCCAGGGGAGGGCAATTACAAAGCTGGTGGCGTCGACTCCCGGCTCTGAGGCTGTGGGAGGAAGCCGGGCTCTGTCTACCAAAGGAATTGGGGAGAGGGCGCCTGGCACTCCTGTCCCCCGGACAGTGGCCCTTCCTGCACCAGCAGCTGTGCCAGGCGGGCCCTGCCATGTCGCTGGGCAGTGTGACCGTGGCTCCCATCAGGAGCTGACTGGGGATGGCTGGGACCAGGGCCTGTTCAAGCTCCTCACAGCCTCCCGTCCCCTGCAGGTCACTCAGGAGTCCAAGCAGGAGCACAAGGACGCCATGTGAGCCAAGCGCTGAGGGCTGCCCCCCGCTCCACTGCCCAGGCCTGCCTGGCTGGCCACCTCCAGCCTCCTGGCCCTATCCTGCTGGTTGCTCTGTCACACTAGGCCTGCGCAGCATGCAGCACCCCGCACCCCGCTCTGCAAACTAACAGGCGCCCTTCCCATGGGGCAGTCGGAGGGACGGGGCCAGTGGCTTGGTTAGAAAGTGGGCGGGCAGAGACACAGCAAGTCACATCCTGTTGTTATAGCAACTGTCAGTAGAGCTACAGCTAGAGGAGAATTGGGGAAGCGCAGGGAGGGTCGTTCCTAGAAAGGGTGGAAACCTGCCCTGGTAGAATGGCCGGGAGCAGTGGACGGAGCTGCTGCCCTGGTGGTCGTGGGACAGAGCCCTGGCCTGCCAGGCCCTGAGTGTGGGCTGGGGGCCGAGCTCCAGGCAGAGGTGGGGTGTGGGAGCACTGGGAGTGGTCATGTGGACAGGGAGGGATGGTGGGCGGAGCGAGGCGCTGTTGGCCCTAGGAGCAGGTTCAGAGAGGCCAGGGCCCGAGGCCAGCTGGGCTGCGAGGGGGCACGGGAGGGAAGGGGCCAGGACTCCGGGGGTTGCAGAGGAAGTGAGGAAGCTGCTCATCTGACGGGAACCCAGCAAGGGGCTGCATCGGGGTGCAGGGTGTTGTCCCCCCCCCCCCCCCCGCCGCACCGCATTGCCCAGGAGAAATAAAGACCCTGCTGCGCTTTCTGTGGTCTCTGGTCTGTTCCTGGGAGGGGCGGGGCCACGGCACAGCTGGGTGGAGACCCTGCATCGAGCCGGTCAGATCTCAGCACCTCACACCCCACCTGTGCTGCTCAGCCAGAAGCCCAGGCTCGCCCTCCGCCCTCCACGGTCCCTCGAAGGCCCTGGCCCTGTCCCCCTCGTCCCCACACCTGCGGTTGTCACCTGCCACTCCCAGAGGGGGCTGGAGGAAGCAGGGCCTGCCCTCCCTCCTCCCTGGACCTCAGGGCCCCTCGCAATCCCCAGAGGCACCATCGACCCGGTGGGCACGGGAGAGTATTACTTTATGTTCCCTTCCCGGGCCTGAGCGAGGCACTGGGGTGTGTGTGCCCGGCTGCATCCCTTCCAGCCTTGGTCCTGGATCAGGCAGGCCAAAGACTGAATCTCAGGAGTGGGTGGTCACCGACAGGGCTGCCCTTAAGTCCTCACCACAGTCCGGCCCAGGCACCCCCCCAGGCTAGGGGACAAAGTCGGGACCACAGCGGAACCAGCGGCAGCAACAGTGGCAGAGGTGGACGCTCACGAAGACCGCCGCTAAGAGCAGGTAGCCGAGCAGGGCGAGCTGCAGGGCAGAGCGGGTCTCGGGGTCCGAGAGCCGGGCTGGGTGGCGCCCCTGGGATGTCACGGCCAGCCGGATGCCCGCCACCCGAGCACCCTGGCGCCAGCAGTAGTAGGTGCCACGGTCGCCCAGCTGGGCAAAGCGGATGTGCAGCTGGTGGCCATGGTCGATGAACACCCTCATGGAGCGGTTCACGCCCTTCAGGTACTGGGTGAGGTATAAGGGCTGGCGGTCCTTGTCCCAGGCCACTGCGTGCTCAGGCCGGGCCCCGGGGCAGGAGAGGACAAGCCCATGGCCCAGTCTCTGCTGGTGGAACTGCACGGGCACCTGGGGCAGCCAGGGCCTGCCGCCCAGCCTGGACATGTAGCTATAGAGCGCCAGCACGCCCTCGCCCACCCGGCTCCTGTTGGCACACGGCACCCAGCAACTCCGCACCAGCAGCTCGGGGCTGTGGGCCGCGGCCATGGCACGCAGCTGCCTGGGCACGGCGCGTGAGCCGCAGGACAGCACACCGGGCAGCGTGGCGCGGTACCGCGGAGGGAGGCCGGAGCTCTGCAGGTAGCACAGGCCCAGGCGCCACTGCTCGCCCTGCAGCCCACAGCGGTCGCAGGGCGTCCACTCCCAGAAGGCAGTGAAGACGCGGAGGGCCCCGTGCTGCTCGTCTGCAGAGGGCTCCTGGCCCTTGTCCTGGAAGGCGGCCACCAGCCCCTCGCTGCTCTGGACATCCACATCATAGGCATAGAAGTAATCGCCCTGGCGGGTGCCACAAAAGTACAAGCCAGAGTCCTCGGGCTGCGCGCGGAACACCAGCAGGCTGAACATGCGGATGGCGAAGCGGGCCAGCACGCCGCTGCCCGCCCGCACCTGTGCCGCCTCCGTCAGCAGCCGCCCGTCGAAGTCCGTGAGCACCTGCGTGTGGCCGCTGCCCAGGTGCTTCTGGTGGAACCAGACCACTGAGGGCACCTGCTCAGGCTTGCAGTGGCAGGGCAGCTCGAAGCTCATGTCCGCCAGGTAGGCGGCGTTGTCAAACATCAGGAAGGCGGGGCAGGGCGTCTTCTGGAAGACGTTCTCCTTCTCCATGACCTCGAAGGCCTTGAGCGAGGCCCAGGCCCACAGCAGCAGCGTGGTGCTGGCTGGGCGCATGACGCAGAGGGGCCCCAGGGAGGGACAGCCCAGGCAGCGGGGCTTATGGGGCTTCTAGAAATCACTGCCTGGCGAGAAGAGCACCTTGTGGCCGGAAAAGCAGAAGGTGGCTGCAGGGGAAGCGGCCACACCCAAGGCACCTCCTCCCCAGCCGGGCACACACATCCTCCCAGCGTTCCGGCCCGGTCATTCTAGAACTGCCTCACTCCGCGCTCTTCTCAGAACCCTGGCACTGACTGGCCAAGAATGGGCTGAGCAACAGAGTGGCGGAAGGGCTCGCTGTTCCAGGCCTGCCCGCCTGCCCCGTGAAACTCTTCCCTTCCATCGCCTGGGCGTTGAGGGAAGCCAGCCCTGTCCAGCACACCTGGCCTCGGGGACACTGGCCATTCAGAAGCCAACGGCCTACGGCTGTCCCAGACCCACCCTGCCCAGGGCCTCAGTCCCTAGGGGAAAACTCTGCACCTCAAATAAAGTAGCTTTTGACCACTGGCTTTGTGTTGTAAATAACCTGGTTCAGAGCTAAGGGATCAGTGTTTACCTGCCACAAAAGGCAAGTAAGTTTGCCACCTTCTTTTTCTCTTTTTTCACCGTGTACGGGGTATCGAACTCAGGACCTTGTGCTTGTGAGGCAGGCGTGGTGCCACTGAGCTACATCCCCAGCCCCGCCACTTTCTTTTTCTGTTGAGCCTGTACCTGGTGTCACCAGCACTGTTGGCAACACACCCATCCACCAGGCCAGCCAGCAAGGGGCTGGGCTGACCTAGCAGAGGGCAGGAAGCAAGAATGCTTCCGGGGCCCTTCGCTGTCCTGTGGATCTATACAGTTCAAAATACAGAAGCCGAGTGCGGTGGCACATGCCTGTAATCCCAGGAACTGGGGAGGCTGAGGCAGGAAAACCAAAAGTTTGAGCCCAGTCTGGGCAACTTAAGAGAGACCCTGTCTCAACATTAAGAAATAAAAATAAGACTGGCTTAGGACACAGCTCAGAGCAAAGGTCCTGGGTTTGACTCCCAGTACCAGAAAAATAAAAATGGGTGGTGGGGGGGAGACACTGAGGAACTGAGAAGTGGCAAAGACTCAACTCCAGCTTTTCTTTGAAAATTCCAAGTTAGGGCGGGAAGTGGGTGTGGGCTTCTCATTGGAGTCCTGCAGACACCGAGCAACACCGAAGGAGCGGCCTGCCAAGGGCGGCGGGGGCATCAGCAGAGCTGGTACAGCCCCCAGAGCTCCTGCAGCAGCCCCTGCTCCTGCTCTGCACCCTGCTCCTCCCCACTGAGCGCCTCCTGTCCAGGCCCGGGGGCGCCTGTGGCCTGCAGCTTCTGGAACAGGGCCCGGCAGCACTCGTGCTCTGTGGGGCTCAGCAGGCTCAGGTTCAGGGGGAAGCGGCCAGTGCCCGCCAAACTGTGCAGGACCCCCAGCACCGCCGCCCGGTCGGCTGGCCTCATGTGATTGGCCAGGGTCACCAGCAGCTCCCCGAGAAGTCCAAACCCCACATCTGTCTGGAAGAGGCGGCCTAGCGCGGGACCCCCGAGCTGCAGCAGGGCCTGGTAGCGTTCTGGTCCACTCCGCAAACGTCGCCGCCAGTCGCGGTAGAACTCTGCTGTGGTCCCAGGCTGGAAGGGCTCCTCCTCCTACATCAGAGGAGGGAAAGGGGCCCACGCTTTTCTTGCTGCCTGGGATGGTGAGGGTGGGGGCGCTGCTCTGGTTCTGCTCTCTGAGCACTGAGGGCCCAGTGGGATGAAGGAACGAAGGATGGGACAGGGTGGGAGGACCCAGGGCTCCAGGCTGTGGTTTTCTCATTTGCACTGGGGTCCTCCTACTCATGAGGGGGACAGAGTGCTGGCCATCTGGAGTGAGTCAGGGTTCACTCTGAGAAGGATGGAGGAGTGGGCTGGCAACCGCAGGAAGTGAGTGTCAAGGTCCGGACAGGCTGGGCCTCTCTCAGTATGGCGGCAGGACTGCCATGCCATCTGCCACCCGGCCTGAGGCAGAGCAACCCAATGCCGATCTGAGAATGAAGACCGAGCACTGATGGGGGGACCTGCCTGGCCCCACTTCCTGACTCTTCGGCCCCTGCCCATCAGCCCCGCCCTGTGCTGGTTACTTTTCTTTCTGGGGGTGGAGGCCGAATCCTGACTCTGTTGTCTTCTGGGGGTGGAAATAAAGAAGAGGTGTGTGCCTTATCCGAAGGCAGAGCTGGAGCTGTGGGGCAGAATCCTCCTGGGCTAGAGGGACGTCGCCTACCTGGGGGATCTCAATGGCCACACCTTCTGGGGAGGTCCTTCCCCCAACAACACAACAGCTCCAGGGCACAGTTCTCTTGCCCCCCGTCTTGTCCTTCCGGTCCAGGGGCTTTAGATGTGACGCGAGGACGATGCTCCTGTGGGCAAGGGACAGGACCCGGAGGACGAACTTAATGCTGTGTCTGTGGGCCCGAGGCAGCCAGACCTTTTGCCTGACCTATGTGGAACCCAGTGACAACAACAGCAAGGCCAGGTGGATGCCTTTAGGCCCTGGCCATGTTCCAGGCCCTGGGCTCAGAGCCTTACATGCAATCACTCATTTTTGGGTAACAGCAGCCCATGTGACAGCTGAGGAACTGAGGCCCAGCGATTAAGGCGCTTGCAGGAGATCACACAGCAGCAGAGGGAGGGCCAGGCAGACGCCCAAAGTGCCTGGCTCCCAAGTGCCGCTGTCGACCCCCAGTGCTCAAGAGGAATGGTGGGGAGCCAACCTGAAGTCTTCGTAGGAGGGCACCCTCTGTTCCACGGCCCGCAACTTGGCAGCGTTCTCCCGCATATACTTCTCATCAGCATCGAGTGCTGCCTGAAGCTCTTTCTCCAAAGCTTTGAAGTCAAGGATGCTATTCTTTTCCATGGCTCAGGCCTGGGGGCAAAGGGAGTGCACACCAGTGGGGGTACAGTACACAGACAAGAAGGGGCCTCTGGACTGCCTGCCAGAACACAGAATGACCCCAAAGCCCTCAGACGCTTGTCTTGGGGAGTGCAACAAACTTCCAGCTCTCTATTTTACAGATACAAACTGAATTACATAACCAGTACTTACACAAGGTGTGTCCTGCCTTTCAGGGTAGAGCCCTCCCTTAACTTTGTTCCATATCTCTGAAAATACTTAGGGGCTGGAGGTACGACTCACTGCTAGAGCACTTGCTTAAGACACACGATGCCCTAAGTATAACAACAACAACAATAATTTGAGGAGGCATTTGGGCTTCAGAATTCAGTGCCTTTTTTTCCACCCAGCAAGTTGTTGCCAAAGAGGACCTCACACAAAAGCAGAACTTCTGTTAGATACTTCGCGCCCAGGGATACAGTTTCGGCCTTTATTAAGTGTCTCTAGTGGAGAAGGATACTGTCCACTCAAAACAGAGGCAAGGACTGAGCAAGAAATGGGAGTAGCGGCAACAGAGGAAGGAGCTCGATCCCCAACCCCCAATTCCTCTGTCCAGCCCAGGGCCGGAGGCATAGGTGCCTAGGTAGCCCCGTGGTCTCACCCCTGAGACTGCACACACAGCCTTTCGCTACCTGAGGCTGACTGGCCTTTTCTACAGGAAATCTCCATGGCTCTAGTCTGGGCTTTACTTGTGAGATCTCTCTGAACCTCAGACTCCTGGTGAGTTGAGCTAGATTTTGTGGTTTAGTCATGCACAGCCCTAGGGCAGGAGGTCTGCGATGAATCCCACGGCCACCCCTACCCCAACTGAGGAAGTCAAATGCCACGAAGGCCTCAGGCTGGCCAGCAGCTGGACTCCGGTGTCTGCGCTGCTGTCAAGTTCTGGACCCTTCCCAGTCATCGAATAAACAACGCTTCCGTCCCCCCCACTCAGCCTCCAGGCCCTCACCCCAGCAGTCCCAGCCTTGTTTTCTTTAGGGATCCCCTGATACGTGAAGACCAGTGGGTAGCCCAGCTGATTCCACCGCCAGCGGCTGTGGTTGCCTAGCAACCACTCAGCCAGCCTGTCCACGTGACGGCCGAAGGCCCCCACCGGCATAGGGTGGTCCCGAGGCGCCTGATCAGATTCATGAATCATCCGGTCCAACTTTCTTTGGCGCATCCCACGCCTTCGTTTGGGGGCCCACAACACCCCCTTCAGTCCTTGTCTCCTCGCCCAGCATTCTTCGGAGCGGGTCTTCAGGCACAGTGCTGGGCGACAGCGGAGTCCTTCCTGACTGCGGGCGCAGGCGACAGCGGGTCCTTCCTGAGGAGGGCGCAGCGTCGTCGCGGCGGGAGGCGCAAGCGCGGTCTCTGGCGGCGGACTCAAGCGATCCGCGGAGCAAGCAGGACCTGAGCGGTGCGGGTCGGTGGCGCGTGAACATTGTTCGGGGTGGGACGGGAAATTAAGAGGCGTCAGACCTGGGGGAGGCGTTATATCCACTTCACAGATGGACCAATTGGGGCCTGGGGAGGGAAAGAGAATGAGCCCCCCCCCCCCCGCACGCCGATCCCGGCGTTTCCTCGATGTCGTCCATCGTTAAAATCCTGTCCCCGGACGGGGCTGTCCGGTCCCCTCTCACTCCCTCTTCCATCTGTGCCTTCTGTCTGCGCAGGGTTCATTGAGCTTGCGATACAGCGCGAAGGCGAGACCAAGAGCCACTCGTTTTGTTGGCAGCTCTCCCTGCGCCGTGTTGGAGTCATTCATTCATTCATCACATATTTACTGAGGGTCTATTTTATGCTAGGTACTGTTTTAAGGAAACAAAACAAAATCCTTGCTCAAATTGTAGTTGGGGAAATGAACAATAAACTAATGAAGAGGTGTCTGTCGGCTGCTGATTAATGTCCATAACAGACAGTGCAAATGGGGGTTGGCGAGTGTATGAGAGACTTCTTCGAGTGACGGAGAAGGTGGCATTTTAGTAACGCCTTGGGTGAAATTAAAGTAAGGAGGGATAAGTATGGGAGAGAATGGCAAGTGCAGTGGCCTGAGTTATAAAATGAGATTGGCTTGTTTCATGAACAGCCTTCTGCAAAAGTTTCGGTGATCACTTAATGGGAGTCTTAAGGGAGGGAAATGAGCAGAGCTGTGATAGCTTCTTGGAAGTAAAAAGAATCTCTAGACATAGGAAAGTTTCCGTAATAATTTACATTGAGGGCCGGGGATTTAGCTCAGTGGTTCCACCGCCTGCCTCGCAAGCGCAAAGACCGGAGTTCGATCCCCAGTACCACGCACACACACACAAAAATTTACATTGAATGACAAGTCCTTGGGTCTCTAATTTTCTGCATTATCTACAGTCAGCACTCAGCAGGTGGCATTGAGGGAGATGGAGGTATTAAATATCTAAACCTTCCATCAGAAGACATTTACTTAGTTTCTACTTATTCCAGGTGCAGTCTTGAACATTGGCAGGAGAGCATACAAAACACAGGGTTCTTATATCCCACCCTGGCCTGAAATAATTCTAGCTAACACTGATTGGGACTGGAGGGGAATGTGTCAAGTTCCTTGCACAAGATATTTTACTTAATCCTCATAATTTTTCTTTTCTTTTTTTTTGGTACCGGAGATCGAACTCGGGACCTTGCGCTTGCGAGGCAGGTGGCGGAACCACTGAGCTAAATCCCCAGCCCATAATTTTTTTTTTTAAACAATGAGAAAGTTTGTTTGAAAGAGTAAAAGTGAAAAATGAAGGAGAAACTAGCTTGGGAGTATGAGCTTGGGCTGAGTAAAATAGGAAAAAGCAAGATAAAAGCACCCCTTGGAGGACACAGGGTGGACCATTACCACGAAAGCCTTGACAGCCAATCCTCATACTTTATGCAGTGAAGATCATTTGCTCCGTTTTCCAGCTGAGGAAGCATGTGAGAAGGAAGTAGATTATCTGAAACTACATGCTGTTAGTGATGAAGACAAAATTTGAATCTAGATCTTCCAACTCCAGAGGTTTGATGCACAACCCATCTTCTGGTCTGGTGCTCAGAGGGTGCGATTCACTGCTGTTCAGGAAAAAATTAATTCTGGTAAAGGTGCAAAAGGTTATAGCAGCATAGAAAAATAAGGAGTAGAGCATCCAGGAAAACTTGAAAGGGGTGGCATTTGAACTATTCTGTGAATAGGATTTAGGTGGTTGAAGTGGAGAAAATCCACAAAGTATTGGTCAATTACACAGGGAAGATAAGTAATTTTACAATGAAAAGGCAGACACCACCTCAATCAAGGGATCAAAGTCAACTTCACCACCAGTGGGACAAATTGAAATCATGTACACTCAATCCCCACTACCACAAAAAAGAAAGAAAAGGAAAACTAAGGAGCTGTTCTAGATGCAAAGAATAGAGACACAAGAACTACTTATAAATGCAAATTGTGCTATTTTTCTGATTTTGACAATTTTATTGGGATTATGTAGAAGAATGTTGATTGAAAAAGAATGGGAAGAGAATATGTAAATAGAGACTTGAGTAGGACAGAGAGGTAGGCAAAGTACAAGCCTTTCAGAGGGTCAGTCAAGAGTCATACCTGGAGAAGGGGTGTGTGAAAGGCCATGGTTACCAGAAGCCTGGAAGGGCAAGGGTGTATCTCGGCCCTGGTGCCAGAATCTAACTCTTCTCTCTTTGAATCTTAGCATCATGGATACTGACTTGTATGATGAATTCGGGAATTATATTGGACCAGAGCTTGATTCTGATGATGATGATGATGAATTGGGCCGAGAGACCAAAGATCTTGATGAGGTAAAGCGAATACATTGCTATTTTCATCTGTTTGAAAAGAAGAAATTGTCAGGTGTGGTGCATGCCTATAATCCCAGCACTCAGGAGACTGAGGCATGAGGATTCCCATGAGTTTGAGGCCAGCCTGGGGTACATAGTGAGATCTTATCTCAAAAAAACCAAGATAAAAAAAGAAGAAATAAAGTACTGTGTTTCCGTAATACCACGTGTGCATCTCTGACATTGCCTTCTCACTTACTGTGGTCTTACATTTCCACCAAAAAGCTTAGCTATTAAAGTTCCAGAAAAGGATTTAGTGTAGTTTCATAGATGGGGTGACTTTGTAATCTGAACTCAGATTTATCTGGCAGTAGTCTCATTTTATTTATCTGAAGTGTCTTTTGACAAATGTGAATAATTCCAGTTTGGATATGATCCCCACCCCACCCCAGAAGTGCCGGTTTTTAAAGATCATAAGAACAGTGGGAAGGGGGGTTGCCCCATCCTCTCATTCCCTTCAGAGGGGTGTGGAGGATGAAGTCCAGAGTGGTCTGAGGCTTGAGAAGGGCAAAAGGTGTCTTTTCTGTTTTCTGTTTATTTCTTAAAGTCCAGCCCCATTGTGTATTTGGGGAAACTGAGGCTCAGAGAAGTGAAGCGTCTTTTCCTAAAACATTGAACATGGTCAAGACTTGAACTCACTTTGATTGATTGATTCAGTACAGGAGATGGTACGCAAGGCTTTGTGTGTGCTCTATGCCCATTTTTACGTTTTGAGACAGATATGTGATAGAAGAAAGGAAAGTCAGGAAGGTTCTAGAAAAGCCAATTTCAACTTATACTTGCCTATAAGTCATGTGATAGTCTATTAAATGACAGTGATAGCACTTCAACAACAGTTCCATCCAATGTTGCTAAAATGTCAATTATAAGAAAAAATTTGACTTCAAGATATATGTTGTCTTAGTTATCTTAAATACTAACATTATACTTTTCTGCCACCATAATTTTTATTAGACTCTCATTTTCACTTAGTGAAATAGGATACAATATACCATTAATCCAAAAACATTACATTATTAAGTGATCAAATGTTGAGAAGCTGTATTAAGCTTTCTATCTAGTCTGACAAAGTCATGATGTTCCCACCCGGCCTTGCATTTGTGGTATCCCTGTCTCGCTCTCATACTTTTAACGGTGTTCAACACAGGATGCTCACAAAGCGGATGGGCTCCTCACTTAGCAGTGGACTAGTCGGGATTGAGCTGATGTTATTCTAGGGACAGCAGAAAAGCAGAACTGGCTGCTAGTTTCTGTAGCACGGAAATGTTCTTCAACCACAGTATATGCTGGAAAAGGAAAGTTGAAGCCATCTGGACGAGTGAGGAGCTGTCAGTTAGCTTTTGGTGCTCAGATCTGCAGGCCCTGGTGACTCAACCTGGCTGGGCTGTGAGACAGACCTTGTGGAGGAAGCTGAGCCACTGCTCATCTTTCAGAGACTGAGTTGGCGTGGCGGTGCAGGTCTGCAGATAGGCACTCTGGGAAGCTGAGGTGGAGGGTTGAGAGCTCCAGCCCAGCCTGAACCAGTGAGAACGTGTCTCAAAACTGGGGTATGGTGGGGGCAGAGTTCTGCCTCTGGCTCCTGGCTTTGCCTTTCCCCGAAGGGAAGAGCATGTGCAGGGTGAGCCCTTTGCTCACCTGGCCCCGACCCGAGGCCTCCCGCGGGAAGAGCCGAGTCCGGTGAGCACTTGTCAGGCTCTGCAGCCCTCTGGCCCCGCCCTCTCTGCTCCAGGTGGACGAGGACGAGGACGAGGACGACGTGGGTGAGCACGACGAGGAGCACCCCGGGATGGAGGTGGTGCTGCACGAGGACAAGAAGTACTACCCGACGGCTGAGGAGGTGTACGGCCCCGAGGTGGAGACCATCGTGCAGGAGGAGGATACCCAGCCCCTCACGGGTGCGCGGGCAGGGCGTGCAGGAGAGGGTGTGGGGCAGGAAGCCTGGCCCTTCCCTGGGCTTGGGGGCCGTTTCTGGGTGAAGATGCAGCTGACTCTGGGTTTCTTTCTTTCTGTTTTTGCCTTAACTCTGTTTGAGTATTCATTAAAACCTTTGTTTGCTCCTGAGCAAATGCAAGCGTCCACTGGGCTTTTGCACCCGGTCTCCCCGCCTCTCCACTGCCCGTGTCCATCTTCTGGAGAGCAGCTGCGTGCTGGGAGAGTGAGGCGGGGCTCTGAGCGGATGCGGGCCTCGCCCTAAGCCTGCCTTCCCTTCCGCTTCCACCACAGACCCTGAGCCCCGGGCCCTCACCCGAGCTGCCTCACATCCCCG